ATGGCTTGTGAGTTGTGGATTGGAGGTGGCGGAGGCCGGATCTCGATGCCAAAATTGCGAACCGAGGATCAATGGGTCTGTGAAAGGGAGTTGGTGATATTTGACGATGCGTGATGTCGGTGAGTAATGGGATCAACACTCTTCGCCTTCTTCAGCCCCTTTTTGTTAGGAATTGGAATGGGGAATAAGCATGAAAATCCAGCGGTGTCTCCGACGAGTAACTGGGTTTTCTGGTATTGGGTCTAAGAATATATAAAAATTTGGTGCTATTTTCCGGTGAGGTGTAGACGACGGCGAAGGCTCGTAGGAGGAGCCGATTAGGGATTTGAAAGCGGGAAAGAAAGGCCACTGGTTCGTGTAGTTGCCGTTCGATCTTGTACTTCTTCTTGAGAGAGAGAACACGTGACATGTTTGGGGTAGGTAACCGAGTCTGAGATTAAGATGGAGAGACAACGGGAGGGAAAAGAAATTAAAGGTTGGTGGGGGGAGAGGAGAGTAAGAAGGAGAGGGAGAGAGAGAGATGATGATACCACGTTGCAGCAAATCGATCAAAAATCTATCAAAAATGCTGATTCCAAGTTGCAGCAAATCGATCTCAAGAGTGGGAATCTGATCGCGACTTGGATTGATTACAAGAATGATTAGAGGGCATTGGATGTGGTCTTGAGTTATTCAGTTTCAAAATGAAAGCTCTGCGAATGTGTGCCGCATTCAAATTACAATCAAGAACAAAATTATTCACTGGGTTTCTGTATGATGTAGTATTTTAATTATAAATTGCCACCCAAAATCAGAACTTCACTTTAGAAAACTAATAGATCGTAAATGTTGTAATTTTTTAATTATAAATTGCCACCCAAAATCAAGAAAATAGGATGAACTAGGGTTTCCTAAAACTATTTCACGCATGGAGGAGAGAAGGGATGCTTGGGGGTATTTTTGAAATAACACATATAAATAAATATCACTTGTTTGGCACATATGAAACAGGGGTAGTTTTGTCACAAAAGTCAATTTGGCAAAGCAATTGTTAACCACGCGCTAGTTAACGGCCCCAATTGATAGAGTTGGGGTAAAATGATAACATTATTATATTGTTGGGGGTTTTTAAAACTGATTGGGGCTTTATGATCATTTTTTGAAAGTAGTGGGGGTTTTGAGAAATTTGCCCTAAAAAAAATCTGAAATAGTTTTAAAATTACTCAACTTTGAATATATCTTCTTTTAATTCTGTTTCTAGAGAACAACTCATGAAAATTTATCTTTCCTACCTTTTTTTGTTATTTTTAATTTTCTTAAGATAGGAAACTATACTTAAAAAAATTCAACTAACCATTTTTATTTCTCCCTTTTCAAAATCTATCTCAACTTTTTTTTATGCGTACTATATATGAAAGTTATTCCTTTTTTCACTCAATTCTACGGCGGAATGATTGGCTGCTAGAGCTAAGGAAAAAAAAAAAAAAAAAAACAGATGCAGATGAATATGTGAGTGAGATACACATATGGGAGCAAAGAGAGAAAAAAAATAGATCTATCTGGTTTAACCTTAAAAAATGGGTATAACCAATGTTTTGTAACTTTTTAAGTTTAAAAGAGGTGTCAACCTTTTATTGGGACACGTTAGTATGTAAGACACAATTTGTCCGGCAGGACTGAAGTATTATTCTTTAATAATTGAACAAATACTTAGGACGTGTATTGAAGATGATGAATTTGGATAATGACCTAAACCTAATTTACAAATTCACTAACTAGTCACATTTTACTTTTGAAGATGCTGAATTTGTAAATTGTCCTAGGCTCATAATGTAGAGATGCAATAAGTGTCCTCTAGCTGTGTGTGGTGCTACCTTGTTTGTTTTGATTTGGTGCTCTTATTTGCAATATTATGTACATAAAAGCCATGGAAGATGAGGGTCAGGTGGTGGAACCAACGGAATATGAAGATTGTAGGATAGTGAATTAGTGATCAATGGTGGTGGGTGTCTAGAAGCAGTGTTTCCTCAAGTGTACTCCATGTCTCAAGGCCGACAACGGGAGCTAATGGAGGAGGAGGCAATTGGCAATGCATCTGTGAATTCTATCAAGCTAGGTGCAGTGTGTCCACCTTTCAAGGGCTGTCCCTATATTGCCAATCCACCACACAACTCCATTAAAATTAGTCAGCTCCTTTTGATTTTCATGATGATATATATCAAATCTATGGTGTAATGAAATTATGCAAATATATGTGACACAATATTTGGAGGATAAAAGTAAAATGTTTTAAGTTCTGATTGGTTTTTGTCAAAAACTGTAATCTCACAGGAGATAATCTGATTTGATCAATAAATTAGTTTCAAACCTCCATGAACACTCTGCATAATTGTTTACAACAATATATATATATATATAATCATTGTCTGGTGCATTGGTAAAAGTCTGAACGGACAAACATGAAAAGAGTGCGAGAACAATCACCAAGAGTCAGAGGACATGAACCTTCACCAATTTCAATTTGGGAAGCTTGGATATATTGTTTGGATTTGACTCATATTTTCTTGCTTGAAGCTTCGATATATTGTTTCAAATGATTTAGAATACTTAATTAGTTGAATAGGTTTGAGTTATAAATTCGTAGTTATAGGTTGAGAATGGATTTTTTCAGATTCAAACCTATTCAACTTATTAAGTATTCTACTGCTATGTTTGGAACACTGGCACGTTAAATATGTAATTAAAAAAAATTTAGTTCAAAATTTAAATTAAACTTAATTCAAAGTTTAAATTAAAATTTTTTCGATTTGGTACTTCCAAACTTGACATAAAAAATTTCTTGCTTCCACCTCCAAGACCGGATTGAAGGAATGAAAATTGGGGAATTCTAGTTTGTTGATGCATATAATTTTATTTATTTATTTATTATTATTATTATTATTTTGGTTACAAATAGACTGATCAAGCACATTTATTTTTTAACTCCAATTGTCTTTTGCCAACCTGGCTAATAATAAATTTACAAGCTTTGGTTGTTTTTCATGATGACAAAAATTATTTGTAAGAAGAGTCCGGTTATTTGGCCGGACAAATAAAAACATACTACTTCATCAACTCTACGTGGTTACCTAGGGACAATTTGTTTCGCCCCCGCGGGTACTCGTCCCACCCCGCACCGTTTTTGCCAGTTTTGGGGAGCCATTTAGTTTATTTGGGCAGTGATGATTTGATGTATTGAAAACACGCGTAGGTTCGGTGCGGGGGCGGGAGGAGGTCGCCCCGCCTCGTCCTACCCTGCCCGTTTAGATAGGTAAATTACTTAGGCATCCTTATTTCATTAATATATATATTTCGCATTAGTACCCTTATTTCATTAGTATATATATTGAGATAGTTTATTTTGCAACAAAATCTGAAAATCTGGAACAAGTAGCTTGTGCGACCATTTAGAATGTTTTTAATGTTGAATTTTATATTAAATTATTTATTGTCCATTTTTTTTATGAATCATTTCAATAATTATATAATTTTAGTTGATAAAAAAAATTAAATGGAGGACAATTTTTGGTCTTAAACTGGGCAGGGCGGGATGGGTACCCGTGGGGTAAAGATGTTAAACGGGGGCGGGAATGGGGTGGAAAGTTATCCCGTTTTTGTAATTTTGGACAGAAACGAGGGTAGGGTTTTTAAACGGTTGCGGGGGTGGGGGCGGGGGAGGGTACACCCTCCCAAACCCGCTCCCGTTGCCATCCCTATGGCTACCCATGTGTCAGATATAATGGGACTCATTTTAAAATATAAGGTAATTTTTTCTCCCAAGGTAATTGACTATTTAGAAAGTTATAATCTTTTTCCTAAGTTTATCTTAATTTAGTATCTCTGTTAGCGATTAAAGTTTCAACTACCATGTATATGTATATTTGTTTTATATTTTAAATTGAATCTATGTAAAGACCATTTAGATACTTTCGATTTTGTTTTTGATCATCTATTACTTTGATAGGCATTTGTTAATTGATATAATGATCAAAACTAATTATCTATCTAACTCCGAAACAAAAAGAAGAAGAGAAATTTAAAAAAAAAAAAAAAAATTGCAAAAGCATGAAAAAATTATTAAACATCACATTTTTTACTGAAAAAGAAAAAGAAAATGATATGGCTATAAGAAAATGGGTTATAGAAAACAGAAAAAATAAGAAAAGGGAAAGGGAGTATTTTGTCGAAACAAACATGAGTACTAATCATACCTATTTAAGTTGAAATTTTGAATAACCACGTCATATTTTTATAACTGTCATTTTTAAGTTGGAGCATTAACGCCGTCAAAAACATCATTTTCTTTTTAGGAATTGACCTAGAAAATTTTTAAAATAGTATTTTAATTCATTTGTAAAAAGGAAAAAAAGGGGTCCTATGAAACAACTATCATAATTGAGATCTTAAGAAAACAATAAGAAAATTCTCCATTGTTTTTTATTATTTTTTTTTCACTCGTGAGTTATAAAAAGTTGCAATTATTTTAGTTTCAGATTACCACTTAAAACTAATGTTACAAATTACAATGCGTACATTCTTTCTTCTTAGATGAAAATTAGAGATGAAAAGTGAAAATAAAATAAAGTGAAGTAAATCCATCATATATATAATTAGAGTGAATTTATTTTATAAAAGTTATAAAAAATTAATATTTTTATAAATTGAATAGATTGAAACTTTTTATAAAAAGAAATACGTTATTGTAACTTCATAAACTTTTTAAATTTTTTTCGGTGATTATCCTGCTAATCAAATTTTTAAAATGTTTTTTAAAAAATTAATTTTCTATCTTTTCATGTTATTTCCATCTAACGATCATTAAATATATAAATTCATATATATATATATATATATATATATATATATATATATATATATAATCCAATGGACTCGATTGAATCTGGCAGAATGAATCCTTATTCTAATTGGACTGATTTGTAAGTGGGTCCCAGTTAAAGTCTTTGGCTTGTTACTTCTGCATTCTTGTTCTCCAAGACGCCTGAAAAGAGCTATTAGGGCACTCGCATCAAGCGAAGTGGAGAAGAAAACGAAGGAGAGAGATATATATAGATACTAAGATCTGATATAACAGCAATATGGAGTGCGTATTCGGACTTGTAGGCAAGGGGTTCGCTCTCGTCGTCGCCGATTCATCGGCGGTTCACAGCATACTGGTACATAAGACCAATGAAGACAAGATTATGCGTCTCGACTCTCACAAGCTTATGGGCGCTAGCGGCGAGGCCGGCGACAGGTACTCTCTTACAGACACATGTATATGCGTTTTGATCAAGTCTGATCTGTACCTAAATACAATTGTCGATTTAGAAATTCTTTTATGTATACTGTATCTAATCCTATTTTATTTCTATATCTCGGTCCCTGAGTTTTGTCTACGTACTAATTTGAGATGTTGATTTTTAAATTTTGATGTTATCAGAGTACAATTCACAGAGTACATACAGAAGAACGTGGCACTGTATCAGTTCCGCAACGGCATTCCATTGACCACTGCAGCTGCTGCGAACTTCACTCGAGGCGAGCTCGCTGTTGCCTTGCGAAAGGTATGATTTGTTAGGGTTTTGCACAGATTTATTGTTCCAGGGTTTATATTTCTCTTTGCTAACCCTCTGTCAGTTTGTTTGGAAATCTAGGATTTTTGTTCATAGGACGGTGAGAGTTTTAAATTAGGCTTTTATCTGCTTTAAAACAACTGGCATCAATTGCTTGTACATTAGTTTTTTTTTTTTTTTTTTTTTCGATTCTAAATCGATTTAGCATCAGTTATAAAAATGTACCCTGTACTTCAAACAGAAAGAAGATAATGATTAGAAAAACCCTCATTTATAAATTGAGGGTGAATTGTAAAAATCCTAGAAGAGCTCAATTTTAAGAACTGAAAGAGGTTATGCTAGTGTTTGGTTGATGAAGATGGTTGGTGATGATGGTTTAATTGGATGGTAAAGTGGCTGTGGTGACGGAGGTATAGGGTGATGGTTGCAGTATTGCAGATGATCATAATGGTGGAAGTGGAGCCACGGAGGTGAATGTGTTAATTTGGTAGAGGAGTTGTTGAGGTCTCCTATCAAAATTATGTTGTTTTGAAAACATTACGTTCTTTATGTGACGTGTTAAACTCTAGACCTTGGATCAGGTAAAAAAGACGTGTTAGTATAAGAGCAATTCAACTTAGAATAACTTAGAGAATTTTCACTTGGAGGAACCTGATCCTTTCTTTTATCACTCATGTTCTTCTTAGTTCTATCTTCAATAGCTCCTTGTATTGAAAAGGATTGTTGGAATTAAAGAAGATATTTGATCTTCAGGGCTTACTCATTGTTCACCTAAAAGACCCAAAAAGGGTGTGGTAGGCAAAGGAGGAAAGAAAGGAGCGAGGGGGGTGAGCGTGACCGTTCCAAGCCCTTTGAGTGGGATTTTCTCTTGAGGGAGGAAGACGCTTGTTTTTTGGGTGGATAAGACAATTATAGGCAAAGCTTTATGTGTGAGGGACAACCAATGTAATGGGGAACTTGTGGCCAAAGTGTTGTTACTCTTCTCTTTGGGAGTATTATTATCCATTTTCCTCCTCTCCTGAAATATATAGGTATACTTGACAAAAACAATTGCCCGTGAGGTGTAATGCAAATGAGTCCCAATATTGCTATGCGATTGACTAGAATTATGAAAAAAAATTCAGAAGGTGTTGGTAGAATGGGTATTCAGAGAAAGATATAGTTGTAAATTTGTTAGTTATTGCTATGCCCACGTTTCTTCTTGTTGTGCCAAGTTGTGTAAACAGCTTTCTCCTTTATTACTTAATGTGTGGTTAGCTGGTGAGTCAGAATTAGTTATTGATTTAATATCTTAATTAATGGAGATCTTATAATTGATACACGGAAATTTAAAATTCCACATTTGGATGAGTGATTAACATATCAATTATCATTGTAATTGAAGTTGAATTTGATTATTTCTTTTATAAACTATGGAAGTTGTTGTAGCAGAAAAGGGTAGATTATTGCAAGGAAATGGGAAAAAATTGGAAGTAGAACTGTGGTGGTGGCAGACTGACAGTTTGCTAGTGGTTTCCAAATTAATGGAATTGAATTGGGCCATTAATTATATCTTATGTTGAGAAGCTGAAGAAAACAGAACAATGGTTTTGCTTAATTTCTGAAGAAGAAAAATAGGGGTCGCCTGCTTTGAGGAGTACACCCCTTGTTCTTTACATTTACCTTTCTGCTGCAATTGTATTTAAAAAGAAGGCAAGTACGGTGGTTTTCATATTATAATAAAATTGGAGTTTTTCCTTTTTATTATTCCGCAAATGGTTCTTTGAAACAACCTCGAAAAAGATATAACAAAAAATGACAAAAAAAAAAAAAAAAAAAATTGATGCTCTCGTACTTGTGGGGACATGTTCACTTGTTTGAGATGGAATTTCAGAACACCCTTCTGGGGAGAATCTCTTGTGGGTAGAGATCCTTCTAGATACTATGCCTCACAATTATGTTAATTTTGGGGTAGATTTATTTGAGTTTATCCTTGAAGAGTCTTTACCTGTTTCCTGGAAGGAAAGTTTGTACTTTTCTGATTATTTATCCTGTTAGGGAGGTTCATTGGGACGGTTGTCAGTTTTTTGAGCCTTTAGGAGCTTGTTGGTTTTTGTGGAGTTTCAATGGCTTCCATGAAGGCCTGTTTGGCCTATTTGGGTTTTTTCAGAACATTTGTCTATGCTAAGAAGGTTCCAACTAGGCTTTTTTGGGCTTCCATTGGAGGCCTGATGAGCCTCAGTTGGGTCTTTGGGTCTTGATAAGGCCCATTTATGTTTCTGTGGATTCAGCCATTCAGAACCTCCAAGAGGCATAGTTGAAGAGTTCCATCTCAGAGGGATCCCTTGGCACATCGAGGATCATCCGGGCTCGTGGCAGGCACTGGATTTTCTATTTCAACTTTTAGCAACAATGGGCCGTTGATGTCAGTGGCAGGAGTGATATTCTATTGGGTTGTGGAAACTGGTCTTCTGATAATGATTATTACGTGCTAGCAATCATGGTACGGTGAGTTGGTATAGGTGGAATGATAATGGTGAGAATTCAATGGCGGCAGTCATCAAAAGGTGGAGATGGTGACAAGGCAATATGATGGGATGGTGAGGGGCTGCCAAAATTTTTACTGATAATTGAGTTGAACTGTTCTACTTATGGCATCTATATGTTGCAGAAGCAGATGTAGCAATGGCAATATTTTTCATGGTGCCATAGGTGGAAATGTGGTGGTGGTGGTGGTGGTGGTGATTAGGTGTCGATGTAGCTTTTGGCATTATGGTGCATCTCGTTATTTTTTGTTGACAGATTGTCGGAGCTGTTGGTACGATGAGCAGAAATGAGTTACCCTTTTCCCTTTGATACGCCATACGGTAGTAGTGATGGGTTAATTAAAGTTGTTAGAAATATTGCCTTGTAGACGAAGGAATATGTGAACCCTGAGTTCTTAAATGTAGGAAATTGTTCTATTTGATATGGTTAATGGTCAAGTGTTGTTTCTCTTGTTACTTGGATAGCACTTGTTCATTGCCATGGGCTGGGAGGAGTTCATCTTTAGTGGTTATTCTATTGTGAAATACTGTTAGATAGGATCATCTTTGATTAGTGCTGTATTCATTGGCTTGAGAAAAGGGAGAATCTTAAATGAGAGTTGTTTGCTCATGCTATTGGGCTTCAGGAATGCAAACCTCGGTCACTGCTAGCATTGTTGTCAAAGGAGTCCCTGCTACTTGGTTCACTACTCCACTGCTTGGTCTGTGAGGATGAGTTATGATTCAGATCTTGCTGTAATGTTAGGTTTGTCTTTTCATTATATCTGTAGATAAGGCTTGGAGCCTGACATCAAAGTCAACATGGCCATAATGTCGTAGGAGAACTTTGTCATGTACTTTGAGAAACTTATCTCAAAAGGCTCTCCTTTGTAGGAAATTCCTCCTTTATCTTTACAATTTTTTCATATTGATTCGTATAGGTGATGGGTTAGGTTCAAAGTAGTCATTGATGATCAAAATAGAACTCTGCAGCTGCTCATAGGCTTATGTTGCTGTTCCAACAACCAGGGCAACCTTCATATTTATTCATAGGGCAAAGTGAGAAAAACACCCATATTGTTTAAATTTTGGGCAAATATCACCCGTAACATTTTTTTCTGGGTATATAAGTGTTTTAAGTTTGAAAACATTATCAAAGAAGGGCTTGAGATTACAAATTTAGTCATGTGCACATTTTTAAGATATAAAATTCTGAAAATACCCTTTTCTCTTCCAATAATGTCCTTATATATAAGAAGAAGATGGAAAAAAGAGGGACACTTTCGTAATTTCATATTTAATTATTTTTTATCTTTTTTTTTGTTCAGTTATAGAGGGACACTTTAGTCTTTTCAGCATTCAAAGTCCTTGTTTGCTCAAAAATTGAATGTTAGGGATTTTTCAGAACGTATAGGGGTTGTCTCTATATGCATACCACGGGTATTTTTTGCACGCGACCCTTATTCATATTGTTGATGTGTCATGTCAAAAGCAGTTATTGGTCAAATCATGTTTACAGTAAAATGCTAATTTCCTAGCGATTTACTTACTAGAACTGAATGTCCCAAAAAGGAAAGACTTTTATTCCTGAGCACTGAAATAAGCATTAAGATATTTTCATCTGATTTCTTCTGTAGGTTGAATAGGTTCTCTTTTTAAGCGAAGAAATTTGTGTCATGTAGATAAGTTTTTAGTTGAGAAGATTTTTTGAACGGTTATCTTAATTTACCATTTACTGATGAGTCGACAAATATAACCATTTGAGTTCATTTTTTATGATTAATTGTGATTCATGTGTAATGGGGATAAATGAAATGATAATACCCCCTCTGTCCCAATTTAACAGTTCATCTTTCCATTAATGGTTCATCTTTCCATTTTTGGATGTCCCAAAATACTTGCCTATTTGAAAAGTTAAAGTAGGATAAATGCAATTTTCCATAAATACCATTTTAGTTTTCAAAAATTTCCCAACTCTATAATATATAGATATATATATATATATATAGACTTCAAACGGTAACTTTGAAATCTCAAATAGGACAATGCATTAAATGCATGCTCCTTGAAAAGTTGGAATACCGAAAAAGGGACCATTAAATTGAGATGTAGGTAGTACCATCCTTTCTTGCAGGAACAAGATGCTCTGCGTTGGAGAGTTTCTAGTTTATGACGGAATGAGTTTCTAGTTGGAGAGTTTCTAGTTTATACTCCCTTGGTAGTTGGTTTTTCTTCCCATGTGTATTTTACCTTAATATTTAGACTTGAACATTTCTTTTCAATATGAGCCTGCTGTTCTTTGGTTTAAAATTTTAAATGTATTTATTATTATTATTATTATTATTATTTTCTTTATAAAAAAAGGATTGGAAGAAAGGAAGTAATTAAGATCTTGATTTAATGATGTGGGTTGGAGTTAATAAACCTAGAGTCATTTGATTCATCTGAAATTGAGATCCTTATTCGTCGATGTGTGTTGGAGTTGATAAAAGTAATAGGAATTGCCAATTGGACTTGTTTGACATATCTGTGTTGTATTTGCTTTTTCAGAACCCATACTCTGTGAATATCATCCTGGCTGGTTACGATAAAGAGACCGGCCCCTCCCTGTACTACATGGATTATATTGCTAGCCTTCACAAGGTTGACAAGGCAGCATTTGGCTATGGGTCGTATTTCTCACTCGCCACGTTGGACAGGCACTATCGCAGCGACATGACAGTGGAAGAGGCAGTTGATCTGGTGGACAAGATCATTCTGGAGATCCGTTCTAGGCTTGTTGTGGCCCCACCGAACTTCGTTATCAAAATTGTTGACCAGGATGGAGCAAGAGAACTTGCATGGCGCGAGACGATCAAGGAGGCTCCTGTGTCAGCAGCCTGAGGTTTAATCTGTTCTTGCTAGATTTGGTTTTAAATTTGGATGGATCAATGACTGTTTAATATTTTCAGATATTTGAATTTCTGCTCATTTGTTTTGGTGATGTGCCAGAAATATTATAATCTATGATGGTATTACTTGCATTCTGTTGGGAATTGAGAAACCTTATTTCTGTCGGTGTCCCGGAAACGACTTGATTGCTTTTCAACAGGGTGAAAAGGAAAAGGAACTAGCGAATAAGTTCTCATTTTCAGGAATATAATTCCACTTATATTAACATTTGATTGGGACATAATTGTTCATTTTGAGAGGACTATGATGCTGCTGATGCTTAATTTTAATTTTAATTTTAATTTTTATTATTTATGAAAATGATGATTTCTCGCTAATTTTACTGGAATATAAATCTTTCGCTCACTTTGGTTCTTATATAATCTATGAACTTTAAATAATAATGTTCACGAGTTTACACGAATTGAAGTTTGAACTCGACTCGGTTTCGGTTTTACACCGACTAATCAATGCAACTAAAAGATACCAATGAGTAATTTCATTTAGGCTACATTTGTTTTAAAGTATTTATTTCATGATAGAATGCTTTTTGTTGCTTTATCACTCAAAGAATAGAATTCTGCGTACAACTTAGGTTTACTAAGAAGATTCATCTAAAAATTTCACTGAGATCATAAAATTATACAGAAAGTTTCAGTCCACTCAAAATAAAATACTACAAGTTTCAGCCGCCGGATCTTCTCTAATACTCTTGAATATGTGTTTTAGTATTTTCTGGTTCCACGTTTCAAACCCTAAACGCCTATTGGGTTACAAGAAAATTTCTGAGCTTCACACTTTTTAGATAGTTGACCCAAATATAGAAATGGTAAAACATGCGTATGCCCTAGAGCAAAAACAGAAACAGAGCATCACTGCAAAAACAGGCTTTTCCAGTTCACACAGCCATGGCAAAACAACTCTACTGTTTTGTTTTTGTTTTATTTATTTATTTTTTTTTTTTGCCTTACTTTCAAATAAATAGAACCTTAACACGTTTAACGGTGAGCTGTGACTCGCCATGCAGAGCAACGGTCTCATGTGGAACTCATCACATAATGAGTTTCACACCGTCATTAAATCTATTAATAGAAAGAATTTATTCTAATTCGATTCAATTATCTAAATATAGATTAAATAACAAATTCCATAACTCCATAATAATTAGAATCCTTAACTTAATAAATTGGATTTAAATTAGGCCAATTCGATCTTATTAAAATAATATATTATTATATATCTTATAAATTATCATATATTTGTATAATTTAATAAAAAGAACTAATCATAATAATATATGTACAAAAGTAGTGTATTCTCAACTACACTGTAACAATTCTCTTATATACCTCGCCTAAGCTTCACAATCCTGAATCCACACAACCAAATGGAAGTTTCAGAATAATGAAAACGCCAAAGGGGAAGAGAGATGATCGATGAACTTGGGATCCCTTGTCGGAACTTTCTTGTAGTGAGCCTTTTAATTTCGTATTCTCTCTCCTTTCCATTCTCTTATTCCTTTTCTTCTTCTTAGAAACCCTATTTGTTTCATTTTTTATTTTTATTTTTATTTTTTCCATCTTCTTTTCTTTCTTTCTCTCACTCTCATTTTCCTTTGCCCAAAGTGAAAAACATCTTAATGTTTAAATTTTGAACAAATATCACCCATAACATTTGCTTTGGGTATATAAGTTTTAAAAAATAATCAAAAAATTCTTGAGGTCAACATTTCGTTATAAATTTAGACATGTGCATTGCACATGACATTTTTAAGATATAAAAATTTAAAAGTACTTTATTCTTTTTCAATAGTACCCTTATATGTAAGAAGAAAAAAAAAATGAGGACACTTTAGTCATTTCACATTTAATTATTTTTTATCCTTTTTTTATTCAATTATAGAGGGATATTTTAATTTTTTTAGCATTCAGATTCTTGTTTGTTCAAAAATTAAATGTTATGAATTTTTTAGAACGTATAAGGGGTTATACACTTTATATACATACTATAAGAGTGTTTTTCGCTGGTGACCCTTTTCCTTTTTCTCTATCTCACTGCTACCTTAGACTTGAAAATATTAAAATTATTGTCCGTAAAATCATGCGATTATGAATTTTGGGTTTTAGGTCTCTGATATTATTGTTTGCACTCATTGCTTGATTTGTCAAAAATGGTACTACATATATAATTTAATCAAATTGGATATCCGATAATGTTTGTTTTGGATATGGATTCACTAAATAAAAATCCGGCTAATTATCGGATCTAATTGAATCATCTATTATGCTAGATCGAGTTGATCATAATCCGGTCCGAATCTGATCCGTTGATAGGCCTAACTGCCACTAGCCACAGGCTTGTCCACAGTTGGCAAACTAAAGGATGGGCCACATTTTAAAGTAGTAGATTACTCATTTATTTAAATATATGCTTGGAACTTAAACAATTGACGATATAAAAATATATGCTTTCGGTGAACTCGAATTTTGAAATATTAGGTTTGGACTCTTTGTATCTATTAATCTAACTTCTTACCCTTTTTATATTGTTAAAAAAAAAAAAAAACTCTCATTTTTAAATATATATATATATGTATATTTTTAATGTTATTAAATGTAATTTTATAAATGAAATTACTTGTAACTCCTTTTAAAGTTCAATAAACCTCTTGTTTTAAAATTTAAATTTAATAAAAATAAATTTTTTAATTATTATGGTAGTCCTAGTTGTAACATTTATTAATAGTTGTGACATTTATTAACATATATATTATTTATTATGAATTAAAGAGAATAAACAAAATTCAACTTTCTCCGTTTTTAGAAATCGATGCAACTAGTACAATGGACCATATCCACTCTTAGTATTGCACTTTCTATTGTTTCTATACCTATGTAAGAATAAAAACTAAACGAAAAAAAAAAAAAAAAAAACTGACCAGCCCAGCCAGCACAATATCAACAGATTAGGTTAGCCACTTTAAGTGACTTGCAATGTCACCGACATGGTTTTTATTTTTGGGTAAATAATACCTTTATGGTTTTATTTTTGAGAAAATAACACCTCTATAATTTATTTTGGATATATAATTTTGTTAAGTTTGAAAAATGAGTTTATTTTGTATATATAAGTCTGTTAAGTTTGAAAAATGAGTAAAAAATAGCTTGAATTCACTCTTAAGATATAAAATTTTGAAAATACATTTATCTCTTCCTATAATGTCCTTATTCGGGAAAAGTGATAAAAACGCTCATAATATTTACATTTTTGGGCAAATAACACTCATATCCTTTATTTTGAGTATATAAGTCTGTTAAGTTTGAAAAAATGTGACAAAGAATGGCTTGAGGTCATTGTTTCGTTAAAAATTCATTGCACATGACATTTTTAAGAGATAAAATTTTAAAAATACACTTATCTTTTTCGATAATGTCTTTATATATACATACATACACACACTTGTCACATTTAATTAGTTTTTTTACCTATTTTTTATTCAGTTGTATGGGGATAATTTAGTCTTTTCAGTATTTAGGTCCTTGTTTGCACCAAAATTGAATGTTAAAGAGATTTAGAACATATAGGAGGTTATACTCTATATATATACCATAAAAGGTGTTTTTTAACCGTAACCCTATATTATATATATATAAAGAGGGATAATTTAGTGATTTCATATTTAATTAATTTTTTTACTTATTTTTTTTTTTTATTCAGTTATAAAGGGATATTTTAGTTTTTTCAGCATTTAGGTCTTTATTTACTCCAAAATTAAATGTTAAGGACTTTTTAAAACATATAAACTCGTGACCCTAAATCTAATTACTTGAGTCATATTCAAAACATTACTATTTTTAATATTTTTTTTTATAATTTGAAAATTTTCATACATATTTATTTATAAAAATCAACAATTCTTAGACATTCAATCCAAAAAATTATAGAATCATTTCTTACTCTTTTTTTTTTTTCCTTCTTTCTTTAGTTTTAATTTATTTTTTTTATAAAAAAAAATATTCATGTGGCATGTCGGTCATACGAGTATGAAATGTTAAAGGAATGGTCAAGAAAACAAAGGCTAACATTTCAATTTATTTTTGAATAAAGGTCTCTATCATCAATCAATTCTTAGGAGTATTTGAGTACTAGGAAGGAGGGGAGTGTTGGGTCTCACATTGTTTGTTTTTATATCGAAATTCACGAATGCTCTGCTTCTATGCTACACTTTACTTAATTATTCATACATGTGAGACCCATCTAATAGTAATATTCTGTGCAACGGGGAGTCAATTCAATTTCACCTTCATTTGTGAAGTGGGCCACACCCTTCTTTTACTTTTCATTTTTGTCCTTTTACCTCCGCAACTTACGTATATTTAAGCGTGAAGTTGTATATACATACACCTCTTAATGTATGTATTTGTTGTTCTAACATGATCTAACGGCACAAGATGTGCCATGTCATCATGGATTTACAATATAATCAACATGATAAATTGAAAAGGCATCTTCCAAAAGGAATGGGCCATCTTTCACTGAATTAGTGTGATTGATTTCATTCATTGAGAGTCCACACCCCTCTCTCTCTCTGTCTCTCTGTATGTAAAGCTCAGTCTCCAGAGTTGTGAAAGGTGACATGGGTTTCCTGTGGCTTTTCGCATTTCATTGATTTCAATATCTGCTCTTCCTTCCTAGAAGATCTCAAATCCATTAGGGCATCTGGAGCTCTAGGGGTTGCTATTTTCATCTCCCTCTCCCTCTGTTTGAAGACAACTCATCGAATCTGGTATAATCATCTTGAGTTTTATTGTTTGGTTTTTCTGATTTTGAAATTTTGGGTTTTATGTGGGACAAAAAAAATTCAGATTTGATGAAAAAATAAAATAAAAAACTTGAGCTCTTTTAAATTTGTATCAAGTAACTTGAGATATAAGTTTTGATTACTTATTTGAATGTCATTGATTTGGGGAATGCTCATTATTTATTGTTCTACAGGGTAGCTTGAAACTTTGTAATGTGTTTGAGGCTGTGGTTTATTTGTGACTACAATGTTATGGTTGATCTTGATTACTTATTTAGTGTGATTAACTTTTTTTTTGTTTTTTTGTGTGTGTTTGTGTTGTAGATTGAGTTTATTGTATTGTTTTTTCTTCGTATTAGCTGGGTTAACTTTTATCTCTTTCTTGTAATCACAGTTGGGTATTTTTGTTTCCTCTTTTTTTATTTTATGTGTCAGAAGCTCCAATATATGGCCTTCTTGTTGTGCACTTGAACCTGTATATCCCCTTTGAAAAAATGTTTAATCTGGTTTTCTTGAAGTTCATTGTTTACTTTTTGGTGTTTGTAAATAAAAATACATGCGTATGGTATGGGACACAGTACACTTGCTTCTCTTTTGTGCTTTATGGAGCAAGTTGCCCTTTGTTTTAGAAAAATCTCATTAACCTCTCTGTGCAATTATCTAAAAAGCCTCTTATTGTAGCCACCATTGGAATGAACTATCATGGGTTCTGTTCCTATGTGGATTTCGGCAATGATGTTTGTTTTATTTTGATTCGAGCACTTTGAGTCTAATAGATGACAATTGTATAATTTTGTTAATTGATAAATTTGACCTTTCTATGTCGTACCAATGGCAAAGCCACATGAGGTTGATTGGTGGCAGCTGCCCCAGTTAAATTTTGTTATATTTAAATTTGCAAGTATAAAATTTTAAATTTGTAAACATGCCAACACTTCAAAATAATCCAATATATAATAATAATAATATTATTAATAAAAATAATAATAGTTCGAATCCCCACTCCATTAGTCAGTATAGTAAATAATTATTTAATTAAATTATACTTATCAAAATAATAATAATAATAATAATTGTGATAATAACATTGCCCCTATGAAGTTAAATTCCTGGCTCTGCCACTAGCTATACAACCTATACCCCAATCTTGTGTTATTGCTATTACAAAAAATAAAATCTCTTGGCTTGTAACCTGTTTCTGCTTGTTGCCTTGCTGGATACAATAATGTACTGACCTTATAGGTTACCACTCACATTGTTGCAACATAGCTCACTGGATGTTGGTTGCAGATTGGATTTATTGTGGTTGCATGATCTCTTGGAAAGCTATATGTTTAATTTTTTGACCTGTGCAAAAAATAGAATGCATACTTACTCTTCATCATTACTGGAAGTCACAGATTCTGTTCGTGTTATTATCAATTTGGTAATGGGTACTGTTGGTGATCAGTGGGATGAGGAACGTTCTGTGATTGGAGACAAAGGAGATATTGGGTTCGTTGATTTCAATGATGACAGATCTGTATGTAGTTACAACCCAACCGAAGAGGGTCCAGTTTGTATATCTGTTCCATTCCCCCTTGTAGGAGGAAAACTTCAATCAATACTCGTAGGAGAAACTGCCACTGATTCGATAACCATTGAGAACACAACTACTGATCCTGTGGAGCTCTGGGCGGTTAGAATTTATGACTCGAACCCTAAGGACTCATTCACCCTTTCGCTGATGGAACCTCCATCAGCAACTTCAGATATGGAGTACATCCAAGGATTCCTAGAGTCGTTTTCCTTGGATGACAGAGTTCTACGACCGGGTCAGACTTTAACCGTTTGGTTGTCCTGCAAACCCAAGGAAATCGGCCAGCACACAACGGCTGTTCATTTTGTTGTAGGGGATGACACAATAGAACGGATGGTTCTTCTGTTGGCAGATGATGAGACCTCCCAGTCTTTGGCTTCAAACAGGCCATATTCTAGAAAGAAAAAGCAGCAATTGTTGAATGTGGATTCATTTCATGTGGGTGTACGTCCAGCAAAGGCTTCAAAGCGAAAGTTCAAATATGGGCTTCCTGACTATCCAATTCCAGAAAATGTCAGACAAGTGGTGGAGAGTAAGCAAATCCCTGACGCGATAAGAGAAGGCTTAACAAGGGGGAAGTATACTTCTTACTTCAACACATTACTGATCATGGAAGAAATAAAAACGGAGGTAATTTTCAATTGTTAAAAATAAAAAAAATAATTATAATAACAGAACAAATTATTGTTTTGATTTGCACTAAAATTGGGTGATTGTTGCTTCAGGAAAACATGAGAGATTATGGCATGGAATCCGTCCCTATGAGGAAGAGCGGAACCCAATTCTTGAGACTTGAGGTCCCGGGACTAGCTGAGAAAAGACCTTCACTTGTTCGTGGAGATCACATTTTTGCTAACCTAGCCTCAGTAGATGAAAATGATTCTTCACCTCCTTCTCAGGTTTGTTCCTATTTAGTGTGTTAATCTTGAATTAGAAGTTGACAGATTCTTTGCTGAATATTGAATTCTGGGATGGATGTTGGACAGGGTTTCATCCACCACGTTGAAGCTGAAGAAGTGCTTTTGAAGTTTGACGATCAATTTCACCTGTGTCATAGGAATGCAAACCTTTATAATGTGCAGTTTACATATAATCGAGTGAGCATGAAAAGGCTATATCAGGCCGTTGAAGCAGCGGAAAGTTTAGGGTCAGAGCTTCTTTTCCCATCTGAGTCATCCGGAAGGAGATTTATTAAACCCACTCCTTTCGTCCCTTTCTCTTGTATTATTAATGAGCAGCAGATGCGTTCAATTGAGATGATTCTTGGTTGCAAGGGAGGATCACCTTATGTGATCCATGGGCCTCCAGGTACAGGTAAGACCGTGACACTTGTAGAAGCAATTCTCCAGCTTTACGCAAAACTAAAAACTGCTCGGATTCTTGTCTGTGCACCTTCAAACAGTGCAGCAGATCATATACTAGAGAAAATCCTCAGTATGAATGGCATTGAAGTTCAAGAGAATGAGATTTTGAGGCTCAATGCACTAACTCGTCCTTTTGATGATATAAAGCCTGATCATATTAAGTTCTGTTACTGTGAAGAGTCAGACTTCATGTGTCCTCCACTGAGGTCCCTCATGCGCTACAAAATCATCATATCGACATATATGAGTGCCTCTCTTCTTTATGCAGAAGGTATCAAGCAAGGTCACTTCTCTCACATTTTCTTGGATGAAGCAGGACAAGCTTCAGAACCAGAAACCATGATTCCTCTATCCCACCTTTGCCTGAGGAAGACCGTTGTTGTTCTTGCCGGAGACCCAATGCAACTAGGTCCTGTAATTTTTTCCAGAGATGCAGAAACTTATGGATTGGGAAAGTCATACTTGGAGAGGTTGTTCGAATGTGAGTACTATGCCAATGGTAATGAAAATTTTGTCACTAAATTGGTCCGGAACTACCGATGTCACCCAGCAATTTTGTATCTCCCTTCACAGTTGTTTTACAATGGAGAACTGATTGCATGCAAAGATGAATATGGTTCATATAAGAATAAGACATGGGAATACCTTCTTCCTAACAGAGAATTCCCTGTTCTTTTCATTGGGATCCAAGGCTGTGATGAAAGGGAAGGAAATAATCCATCATGGTTTAATCGATTTGAGGCAAGCAAGATAGTTGACATGATCAAGCAACTGTCAGATAAGGGGTTAAGTGAAGGGGATATTGGAGTAATAACACCTTACCGGCAGCAAGCACTCAAATTAAAGAAAGCCCTAGAAAACTTGGGATTGTCTGGGATCAAGGTTGGAAGTGTTGAGCAATTTCAAGGACAAGAACGGGAAATAATTATAATATCCACTGTTAGATCGACTGTGAAGCACAATGAGTTTGACAGAAATCATTGTTTGGGATTTTTGAGCAATCCTAGAAGGTTCAATGTTGCCATTACCCGGGCCAAATCTTTACTGGTTGTTGTTGGGAATCCACATATCATCAGCATGGTAAGCCTGAATCGTCTGTCTTGCCCATTGCAGTAGACAAGTCTTAGATAAATTAAAAGAAAAATTAAGTTCCGTCGGTTTCTTTCATATAGTCATTTACCATAATTCTGGCTATGGCATTCCCAGAAACATATGCAACAATATAAATATGGATTACACTAGCTGTCTCCCATTTTCATGCATCTTACGTAGTTTTTAAATCACTTCGAAGCTCAGACCAATCCCGACCAACAGATGTACTTGTTTAATTATTGATGTTTAGTTGTCTGCATTTTGCAGGATCCATACTGGAATAAGCAGTTATGGCATTGCTCAGATAATCGCTCCTATCAGGGTTGCCCTCTTCCTGAAAAGCAGGAAGATATTGAGGATTACCCTCAAGAAGAGGGCCAATCGGATTACCCCCAGGAAGAGGGCCATTCGGCTTATGAAGGAGAGAACCATCTACCCTCTGATAAGTTTGAAGTGCGTGGAGAAGCCTATCAGGCAGATCTCCCTGAACCTATTACGGATGAAGCTGAGTGGTCGGATGGTTGGAAATAAACTCTATAGCAGAACTTTGAATTATGGAGCAACGAGAAAGTGTTTTCTTCTTTTCTGTCTTGCTTTCTCTTGGTAATGAATGAATTCTGTAAATGTTCCAGAATGAGGGAAAAAGTATCTTATTTGTGCTGGTTCCTGAGATATAATAGGTCAGTTTGTTGGAAATTAACTTTCTTGCAAATTTGGGATTTGCTTTCTTTCTATTGTTATTGAATATATACTGTAGTGAGTGTTCCAGAATGAGGGAAAATGTATATAATGTTTTACTGGTTCTTGAGATATGATAGATCAGTTTGCCTAGGGAATTTTCAAATTTGCTAGCCCTACTGGTATCTGGCATGTAGTGATAACTTAGAATTGTGAAAGCAACAAGAATATGAGATTATATTCCTGATATTATTGCTAGGATTGATTGCTTCAACTGTTGCAAATGACTTGTCACTAGATTATCCTGATGCCATCTCAAAATTCGGTGGATATTTTTTTGAGTATAAGCAGCATTGATTGATTTATCTAGTATATGCCCTCAGAGCTATTGTTATTGGCATGCTTTAGGACAATTGAGTACTGGTGATGATGTGCAATGAAGATGAAGGAGCCGTACTACCGACGAGCTCGGCTTTGTGGTTGAAGAGCATCTGGCAATCTGTATTACCAGTGAATTTTTTAAACCTTTTCTCAGACAGACAGACAAAGTGTTGGTCTTCCAACTTTCTACCAAAGGTGTCACTGCAGGACCATTATCTCATGGAAGGTACTTGAGACTTTGAATCCTAGAATCTTTAAATCAGATTAAACTGTACTATTTAGTCTTCACATTTTAGAGGCATGTCCAGATCAGTTGCTTGGGTTGGTAAATCCAACAAAAAATCAAACTTAATTGTTAACTGATGCATAAATGGATCATGGGTGTAAAATGAAAATGGTCGAATTTGGAGATGGATTGGATTACCTTTCAAGATCAAACTGATCTGATGAATCAGAATGCCCATGGAACTTGCCCAATCCCTTGATAATTGAGAGTACTGAAAATTTCTATTTAATGCCCACCTTCATTTCTTCCTCGGAGTCCCCTTTGGAAATTGAAGGGAAAAGAAAATCAAGTTTGCAGCAGGAATTTGGTTTGAGGGAAATTTTTCATGAAAGGTGTGAAAAAATATTATTTTATTAGTTTGAAAAACATGAAATAGAAAAGAAAATAATTGTACTTACCAAAATTACCCTTGTGATTTCAAATACTAAAATTGTGTTACTCCCCTTACCCAATTATTTATATCCATTTTTAAAGAAAAAATAAATAAATAATGATAATAATAATAAAATATTGAATTATTAAGAATTATAATATAATTATTTATATTAATTTTTAAATTATTTATACATGAGAAAAGTTTTAGGCTTTAATTTTAGAAGCCTAGAGGTTAATCACATATACAAATCACCAATTGATAAGGGGTATAATAGAAAGTTAAAATATACACGAGAAAATGAAATTTTCTTATATTTTATACGGAAAGATTGTACGAAAAATCAACAAATTGAGAGAAAATTACTTTCCTCAAAAATTTCTTTTTCTTTCTAACCAAACTATTAAAAAAAAATTCATTTTCTTTTCCTTTCCTGCAACTTCCATCCAACCAAACACACCATTATGGAAACTTTCATTAGCCATCCAAGAATTACCACCATCCATGAAAGGGAATTTAATTTTGAACAAACAATAGGGTTCTTATTCCAGTACTAGTACTATAGTATTACAAGGATTATTTATAAAAATAATAGACCAATTGTTCTCAATCATCATCTGCACTATCCTAAACAATAATCCACACCCCAAAGAATATTTCTTAAATATAAGATCAAATACACATCAATATATCTATACGTATAGAGAGAGAACTAATAGTTCTTCAAAACTGTAGCTCCTAACACAGCTAGCAGAAGCAATGGTGAGAAACTGTGAGAGGGCTTGGAAGCTGAGGGGTTCAGAACTGGCCTAATCCCTGAGTCTGATGTTGGAGCATCTGACTCTACGGTTGGAGATGCTGGACTAAGATCTGGAGTTTTATCAGATTCCGGTGCCAGAACTGGTGACACTGGATTGGGAACAGTAGAAGCTGCCAATCAAAGAAAATAAATGGTTCATACAATGATGCTTCAGCAACCTCTAGCTCTAGTCATATTTGAGTTTAAAATGATAAAACTTTGAAAATTTTAGTAGAGGAGCATGGTACCCGTAGGACTAAGAGGAGGTGACACAGTTGGCCCAAGCGCGACAGGACCTGTCAAGTGAAGTAACGCGAATTATTAACTTGATGCTTAATTATAATGAATTAATACACATCATTCATCAAAGTATAAAGAACGTGAATTTTTATGGTACCTGGAGCTGGAATAGGGGCACTAGAGGCTGCAATGAAAAATCAAATAATCTGACTAAGTAAAGCTCAGTAAATCGATAGAACTCTTGAAATGGAACAGTAGGCAAATGCAGAAAAATGTCACCTTTGCACTGGAGAGGCACACCAGGCGTGTTACAAGCCCGTGGGAGCGAGATAGCTAAAGACCGGTTGATGGGTATTTGGAAGGGGACACTTCCAGTTGCAATAAGGCAGAGGCAATCCATTCCATTGTTTGTCATGGATTTGAGGGAATTGCAGCAATCAGCTGATGGTGAAGTTCCATTAGCACTGCTATTAGTAATGAAATTCATGCAAGGGGTGAAGGTTGTAAGCACTGATGCCGTGCATGGGGTACTGATCTGGCCATAAACCGGCATCATGAGAACCGTCAAAGCTACTGCCAACACTGGAACTAAGCGCGGAAAATTTGTAAATGCATCCATGTATATTTGGTTTTGGAGAATAGAGAAGTGGAGGAATGTATAGTGTTGAAGGAAAAGGTAAGATGAATCGATTGGAGGATATAGCGTTGGTGGGAGGGAAAGAGAAGGAAGGATTAGGGAATTTATAGATGGAGAGTTCAAGTGAAGAGAACAGGAAAGAAGAACACGTAGAGTTGATGCAGGTTTGGGGCTCAACTACCTTAACTAACTGTATGAGATAGGGAGTTTGGTGGATTTGTCTGGTTGTGGCATGCTGTTTTCATCTTGAAAACCTTTGACTTTTTTTTTTTTTTAATTGTTACTCGCATACACATGCCTCCACTAGACTCGAACTTCTAACCTCCCTTTGGGATGTAAGGGTCTAGTACCGCTAGACTCGAACTTCTGACCTCCCTTAACTAACTGTATGGGATAGGGAGTTTGGTGGATTTGTCTGGTTGTGGCATGCTGTTTCCATCTTGAAAACCTTTGGACCTTATTTTTTTATTTTTTTATTTTTCCTTCTTCTTCTTCTTCTTCTTCTTCTTAGTTGTTACTCGCACACACATGCCTCCACTAGACTCGAACTCCTGACCTCCCTTTGGGATGTAGGGGTCTAATACCGCTAGACCATTGGCCCGTTAGTCTCCCCAAGTTTTGTTTTAAAATTTTTTTTTTTTCCTTTATTTTTTTCTTTAGGTGGTACTCATACACATATGTCTCAACTGTGGACTCGAACTCCTGACCTCCTTTTGGAAAGTAGGGGTCTGGTAGCGCTAGACCACTAGCCTGTTGGTCCCCATAGTTTTGTATTAAAAAAAAAAAAAATCTAATTAAATTCTAATTGAAGTCTAATGGTTAAGTCTTCATCGTGGCACCATTTTATAATTGCCAATGTTTACTTGCATCAAATGGTATAACATGATTTCAAGTGTTTAACCAGATCCATTGTTTTTGCTGCTATTTGACATTTTCTTTTTCAGTTTTTGTTATTAGAACACTGTGATAATGAGAAGATGAAAAAACACACACACAGACAGACACACACAATCACCAAAATCAAAATACTCACTGGTCCTGGATTTCCAACAAAGGCACTCAAGTCTTATTTGTTTGTGACCTTGTTAAATGAACCACAGGGATTAACAATTACATTTTCTCTGATTTAGTCAGAGTCTGAATGTGTTCACACTGAGGTTAGGTGATCTGCCAGCTTCTGTTTGTCCAATGTAGGTCACTTTCCTCTTGTGTACAATGTCACCTTACAGATTCACAGGTATACCAATATTTTACTTCTACTAGTAATATGTAGATTGGTAAGATGATCTAAGCACATAAATCATATCACAGCTCTTAGCAGATTCAAATGACACGTTAGCACGGTTTTATTTCAATAAAAACATATCTGATTTGATGAGGCTTGTTTAGTTTACCAAATACCTCTTGAACCCAAAAATTAATGATGTAACCTTATTGTATAAATAAATTTCTTCCACACTCTCAATGAATACACAAACAGCATATCCTTGTCCTTGAGCACTTTCTCGGGAAACAAACAGATAGTCTGAAAACTGCAAATGGCTTCAAGTGGGATTGAGATGGGGCTAGTCCTAGTCCTTGTTACAATGCTTTGGACAGGAGCCGCGGCTCAATCAGGTTGCAGTAGTGTGCTCATTGGAATGGCTCCGTGTCTGAATTATGTTACTGGGAGTTCCTCAAGCCCATCTTCATCTTGTTGCTCATCACTTGCTAGTGTTGTTCAATCACAGCCACAATGCCTTTGCACTGCGCTCAATGGTGGTGGTTCAGCATTGGGCATCAACATTAATCAGACGCTTGCTCTTGCATTACCTGGAGCATGCAATGTGCAAACTCCGCCTGTTAGCCAGTGTGATGGTAAAGCTTAAAGAATACCTCTCTCTAGTCAAGTTAATTAATGTGAGCTGCAAAATAACTTATGTCTGATAATTGTGCAGCTGCTAGTGGACCGACAACAAATCTTGAGGGTTCTCCTGAAATTTCACCAGTGGTATCTTCAGATGAAACTCTGAATTCTCCAACTCCCTCATCAGTGTCAGGTATATCATTATATGTATATATTTGAAATCTTCAACTTAGTATGTATTGGCAAGATGAAGTAAAAACCATGCACCACATCAACCAGCCAACTAAATCATTAAGCTTTCATATTAGATTAAAATATATATATATATATATATATATATATGCAGAGTTTGGTTAAGATGATACTTAAAGATTTGAGGTGTTTAAAAATTTTGGTGATTAAATTTTTTATTTTTATTTTTAAAAAGTGTTAAAAAAGCTTTGGAAGAACTGGTGATTGGATTGGCCAAAGGTAAAATCCCTGTACTTAACTTTCTAACTGATCATTTCATTCCAGTTTAAATTTCAAATGAATTGTATGCTATGTATTACATAAGTTCAGATAATCATAGCCCTTTCTATATTCTTTTAGAAGTTAATTTTGGTTTAAGCCAGCTTATTACTATCTTATATAATCTTAATTCATGTGTGAACTAAAGCAGGATCTAAAGCAGTTCCATCAAAAGGCTTAACTTCTGATTGCAATACTCCAAAGATGTCTTCTCAGATTGTTGCCCTCTTTCTGCTCACAGCTTCGTATGCTTCAACTTTCAGCAGCTTCTGAGTTTTCTTAGGAGCTTCGAGGTTGTAGAACTAAATATGGTGATATATGGATAATGCTGTTTATTATAATTTGAAACTTCTATATGTGGTTTTCTTTATGAATGTTGTATTTTCTGTCGTTTGAAGTTATGTATGGGTTGTTTGCTACATGAATGGAAAACTACATGGTTTTCTGTTCCCTTACCTCTTAAACTTGGTTGCTTCTATTGATAATGAGCAATATAAATGAACTAAATAGTGTTTCTGTTCCCTACTGTGAAATTTGGTTTCCTTCATCGATAATGAAACTAATTAGTGTTTCTTTTCCCTACTGTGAAATCTGGTTCCGTTCATCGATAACGATCACACATAAATGCATTAGTGTTGCAACTGTTCAAATTGGACAACAACAATCTGCCCTGCCTATTACTTTGGGGTTAGGTGTAGGAGGCTCACTTGTATGTGCAACAAAGTAACAAACCAACTTGAAAAAGAAATTGGATGTTGAATTCTTCCAAGTCCAAGTTTCACTTGATTAATAGTATTATGAAATTCATTGATCCGAAAATGAGTAGTGATGAAGCCAGCATGGTGTCACGCCCCCGCTTATTTTGCAGGGAGGTTGCACAATGCAGGTGCCACGAGGGCGCTGAGCAAGACTTTACATGGCGTCTTCATGGCTTGAGCAGTGTTGTTTGGAGAGAGTTGAAAGATTCTAGTTTGTTGGAGGGTTTGTAAAAATGCGTGGAGCTAGTGTAGGGGAGATTCTAGATGAGTAAATAATTTTGGAAAGATTGTAGGAAGAGTTCTAAAAAGTGGATATGACGCCTACAAAAAAGTGAGAGTTGTTGAAACTAACATGCTGCGGGTGAGAGTGGGAAGCTCCAATAGTGTTATTTGAGTATTAATAGTGTTATAAATAATTTTTTATGTGGGTCTATACACATGATAAATGTAAGTTCTGTTTAATGCACCAATTCGAGAAATCACATACTGACAAAAATATGCTTGGATGAGTTCTATGACCTTCTCATTTATAAGTCCAACCTATCTTTTATCTCATCTTCCTCTTAAATATTTTTTATAATTTTTTAATTAAAAAAAGGGGTAAAAGGGGTAGAAGATTCAAAATCTCTCTCTCTTTTGTTTACTTGGCATGTAAGGAAGAAAAACCTTTGTCTACGAAGAATTTTTTTGTCTATGAATTTTTTTTTTTTTGGCGGTGATATTTTTAAATTTTTTTAATAATAGTAATGATATAGTCACATAAGATTAAAATATATAGCATAAAAGATTCAATTGTGTGAAATGTAAGACACAACAACAAATATAAATATATATATATTAACAAAGATTATTTCTTTGCAGATAAAAACTAGTTATTGAACATCCGGTTGCAATGGTAGATCTAGAAATATATTCTAGGGGCTAATATATTATGGGGTAGACTAATACTACTATTTTTTTTTATTATTATTACCAATAGTGATTTTTTGTTTTTGTTTTTGTTTTTTGGGTGGCTCAAATCCCCTTTGCCCCACTTTGAATCCGCCCTGGCTGCATTTTAAAATAACATATCTTATGAGAGTAGGAAAATGATAAACAACCACATTTGAGGTTCATTCTATATGAGTTTTCTTCATATTGGTAAAATTTTGTGCCAATTTTTGGCCCGAGACAAAAGCTATACTATAAATATTGGTTATGAAAAGAGTTATATCCAAACTCCAAAAACACAACTTACGTGTATATTTTCCCAAGTAGTCATATTCTATATCAGTCTGCTTCAAATTGGTAAAATTTTGTCCCAATTTTTGGTCCGAGACAAAAGCTATACTACAAATATAGTTATATCCAAACTCTAAAAAACAACTTATATGTAATGCACATATACATAGAAATTGAACTTTTATAAGTATTCTTATTAAGAATCCACCCACACTATTTCAAGAAACACAAATTTAAGTTCACATAAAATAATTAACTTGGGGATCTGTAGCGAGAAGGCTAAAGATCACCATGTCTGTTGGCTTCCCCTTATGCAAAAAATACTTCCTCAGAACACCTTCCCTCTGGAACCCAGCCTTCTCCAACACCCTCTGTGAGCCCGGGTTATCCACATCCACCAGAGCTTCAAGTCTCTCTAAATGTGGCCACTCCACAAATATAGTGGAGGCCACCATTTTCACTGCTAGTGTCGCGATTCCTTTTCCCCAAAACTTGGAGCTCAGAACATATCCAATCTCAGCTCTGCAAATATCAGCACCCTTATTTGGTGTCACTGAAATAGTACCAATTGCGCGGTCATTTAGGCATATTGCTCTGTACCATGGGTGGGGGATAATGGTATCAACAATATGTTCCACGGCGGCTTCTTTAGAAGTGTAAGTCTCCCAAGAGCAAAATCTGCTCACTTGATCATCTGTAGCCCATACCATGAAATCATCAACATCAGAGAGGTCCAAAAGCCGGAGGGTGATGTCCAAAAACTCATCACCATTCTCTTCTTTATGCTCCATTTGTGACTGTTCAAAAAGAACAGTTCAACTATATATATATATATATATATAGTTGATAACTTTATCTATGGAAGAAGATTATGCTGATCAACAGAAAATATGATCGGAGACGAGCATATATGTTGATGAATTTCAAGAAAGTTTGGCTTTATAGAGCAGCAGATGTATATGCCTCCAAGAAATTGCCTGGAATAAAGTTATGAAAACATGAGTCAGTTTCGCATGACTTAAATTATAGGGGGATGAAAAGTGCAATAGTACAACATGTAACAGCCGCCTTGGTTGACTGCGTTGCTAAGGAAACTTCGTGTAGAATTTCATACGACAAGCAATACCTTTGTTTTTTAGATGAATGAGTCAGACTCCACTGAATATCAGCCATATATATATATATATATATATATATATATATATATATATATATATATTATATTTGATGTAGATATAAAATAATAACCTATAAGAATTCATGATCAATTGTAAAATTATTGATGTGGAAAGCAAATTATTAATAAACTCTTGTTAAATGTCAGAATTTCCGTCTTTCCCCTCCAATAAAATCGATTAAACATATATATATATATATATGCTGGTAGACATATAGTATTACTGTTTGTTTAGAGTTGTTCATACCTGCAAGATTAAAAATCGATTAAAATATATATGTATTAAAATCTATATGCTGGTTTATTGACTTTCCAAAATTCAGCAACATAGTATTTTTTAAAACTCAAGAAGTCACACCATAGAGTAAAGAATTGAAAATCAAAATTTGACATTCTTCATAAGAATACCATTTGTATAGAGTTGTAATACCGGCAAGATTGACCCTCTTAGCAACATGGAAACACAGTTATCTTGAACGGTTATCTTGAATCCACAAGATAAAAAATTACATATAGAATTTTGAAATATTATTAATAAAATTGATTAATTTTTGCAATTTATAATTAAAAAAAAAAAAAAACATAAAAGGAAACTAACCGCTTAAGTAAACTAAAGAAACATAAGGTAACCTAATAATAAAAAGAAACTAAAAATATAAGAAAATTACTTAACACTAGAAACTCTCTAAAAATATAAAATAAAATAAAATAAATAAACATAATTAATAAGTCTTGCAGAATGGATTTCTAAGTTTCCTTTAAAAGTATATTTCACAACTTCAAACGCAATTTATGGATACAAGTACATTAGGACCAATTTTATTTTGCACAAGTATAATGACTATGCAATCACGAAGAGTAAAAATTCTTGCAAGTGATTGAACCATAAAGGTTAGGCACGATTAGTTTATTGTTTGTTCCATAATTGATCATTTTTCACCTTCAATTCTTCAAACTTTGATCAGGTTTTTTTTTTTTTTTTTTTTTTTTAATCAAAACAAAAAGAAAAATAATAATGATAAGCTTTTTTAGAACAGGGTTCTGTGCCTGTTTGAGTATCCACTGTCAATGAATTACAATGAGAAATTCTTATTTCACTTATAAAATGTCCTTACAAACTCGAATGCAAACACACACACACACACACACACACACACAAATGTGAACCATAGGCAAACAGGTTGCAGTTTGAACGCCATGTTCATAGTTCATAGCATCATACAAAGTACTGTCAAAAGACTATAACTGAGAATTAATACTATAATAAAGAAAGTAATTCTATTAATGGAGGCGAGGATCGGTAGAGAGAAGACTGAAGATGACCATGTCTCTAGTTCTCCCCTTCATTGTAATATACTTCCTTAAAACACCTTCCCTGTGGAACCCAGCTTTCTCTAGCACCTTTTGTGAGCCCAGGTTGTCCAGATCAACTAGTGCTTCGAGTCTCTCCAGATGTGGCCACTCACTAAATATAATGGAAGCCACCATTTTCACTGCTCGCGTGACAATTCCTCTGCCCCAGTAGTTGGAGGCTATAGCATAGCCTAGTTCAACTCGGCATCTGTCATTGCCGGATTTGGGTGTCACCGAAATAGACCCAATTGCCCGGTTTTCTAGGCATATTGCTCTTAACCATGGGTGAGGAATGGCAATGTTGTTGACATAGTCCATGGCTTGTTCTCTGCAAGTGTAGGTGTCCCAAGTGCAAAAAAGACTCACTTTGTCATCTGTGGCCCACACCATGACATCATCGATGTCCGACAGATCCAACGGCCTTAGGGTGATCTCTGAGAATTCATCATCTCCTTCTTTTCCATCCATTTGCACTGCTTTTTTCTTAAGGTTTTGTTTGCAGGAAAAAACTAGGAATGGAGTTCCAAGGCACAAAAGCAGGTGGGACTTCACACTTATATGTAGACAAAGTGGCTTCAAGAAACTACTAGGAAAACAGCTAGCATAATGTCACGGACTTGTGTGGCCTTAGACACGTTCAAACACACCCTAGCTGATGTGGTAAGTGGGGTCAAATTTGAGAATTCAATTTTGTAATTTTGCATTACTTGGAGTGCGGAGCAAGTAGAGACATAATAAAGAACGACATAATGGTCACGTCAAGTTTTGTGCGGTGAACAACTATACAATAGGGAAATTTCCAAGAAAATTGCAGGATTCAAAGGAATGTGGACCATAGGTCCATATCTTAATACAAAAGAGAGGCTGCCGGCGTCTTGAAACGTTACGCTTTATTTAACATGCATTTTGTTTTTGTTATTTTTATTTTTAAATTATTACAGTGTCGTTTTTGATAACAGAAGCATGTTTGATAAAATCTTATTTTATTTTACACAATGTTAAAATATTTCGTGAATAATGATTCAAATCCAAAACATCAAAAAATTATTTTTTTTAGTTTTGAGCAACTGCTCATGGCCCGAAACCATAACAGTAATACAACACGGGCCTGACAGCAAAACATCGTTCCCAAACGAGCTTTCGATTTTTTCCTAAAATATTTCTACAACAAAAATATTATTTTTGTTTTAACTAAAAACAAAACGCATGCCAAATGAACCTTACATTTATTTAATAGAATGGCAATAATAACCTAATATTATATATATATATATATATATAATATGATAAAAATTTCGGTCAATTTTATTACAAACTGATTTATTTATGGGAGTCAACACAAAAAAATTATTGCACCAATTGATTCATAAATGACCTTATCTAATGGTGGACCCGGGCCACTGGCCGTTAGAATTATTGGTCTCCTACAAATAAACATAAAAATGACATGGTCCACATTCATTTAATCCACACTACTATGTGACCATTTGAACAATATGGTCCACGTTCATTTAATTCAATATACTCGAGTATATCCATTTTAAAGCAAGTGAGGTTGAATCTTAAAACCATCCGGAAAACTTCCAATTTTGGCGATCAACATTGATGGACTCATCCAGAATCTCCGTCCGGCCATTCAAACTATCCGATGCCGACGACTTCTTCTCATGGGCCAAAGATGACAGAGTAACACACTACCTAAGATGGAAGGCCATCGCCTCTAGAGAAGAAGCATTGGAATATCTCAAAAATGTTGCCATGCCCCACCCTTGGCGTCGGTCCATATGCCTGGATGACCATTCGATCGGCTACATTTCAATCCGGCCAGAATCCGGCGACAACAAGCATAGAGCACACATTGGGTATGCAATAGGTGCAGAGTATTGGGGACAAGGGATAGTCACAATGGCATTGAAGATGGCCATTTCTAGTGTGTTTAAAGAGTTCTCTTATTTAGTGAGGATAGAAGCTTTGGTGGAGGTAGAAAATAAGGGGTCTCAAAGGGTACTAGAGAAAGTTGGGTTCCAAAAGGAAGGTTTTTTGAGGAAGTATGGGTTTAATAAGGGTGAGATTAGAGATATGTTAATGTACAGCTTCTTAGTGAGTGACAACATCATATGAAAGAATTTTCTTTGGTTGATCAGCTTATTTTCATCAAAAAATAAATAAAAACAGCTTTTATCAACGTTTTTGAAACGGGTTCTATGCCTGTTTATGTATCCAATATCAATGAATTATGAGAAATTTGTATTTTATTTATAAAATGCCCTTTACAAACTCAAATGCAAACACACACACCCAAATGTGAACAATACACCATACGGATTGAACTTTGAACACCATGTTCATAGTTGATAGCATCCTACAAAATGTCTGTAGACTATTAATTGAAAATTAATCTACTAATCAAGCCGAAAAATTGTCAATCTAACGCTTGACAAGTAAAAATATTATCATATCTAATAATATTATTATTGTTGACATTTTTGTCATTTTGGTATCATAATATTTAAATTGTAATACTACTTATGAAATTGATTGGTAAAGAAGGTTAATGTAATTTTATTAAATATAAGAAGGTATTAGAGTTTTTTTTTTTTTTTTGGTCTTAAATTCATATAATATATTTCATATTTTTGTATATATAAATGTAAATAAAATAATAATATATTGCTGTAAAATAGTATACTAACAATAAACTTATATTTTTATTTTACAATCTTTGAGCTTTCAACAGTAAACTAAAAAGATCGAACTCAAAATTTTTATGACTTTTGAGATGACACAAGCCGCAGCGGAATTTATCAGCACCTTCCCAAAAAAATAAAAACTGGGTAGGCCATTTAAAATTTTATATAAATTTTGTACCTCACAAGTAGGGATATTTAAATAAAATAACTATTTTTATGAGGTGTAAGAGGAATTTTAATAAAATAATAAAAAAAATAAAAAAACTAAAAAAATTGGGGGCCAATAGCAATTTTCTTTCACTGAGAGGAATCAATTTATAATAGATAATGATTATTTTTACACTGGGATGAATCAATTTCTAGTTAGAGCGAGAAATAAAGAGTGTTAGAGAGAGAGAGGGGGAAAAATAAACCCAAATCCCAACTTTGGGTTGAAGCAGCCCTCTCTGCTGAATCTCCAACCTTCTACTACCGATGTCGGTGTCGATGTCGGAGCTTCCGGAGGATTTGTTGAAGGACATTCTCTCCCGACTACCGGTGAAAGATCTGCTACGTCTCAGGTGCGTTTCCAAACAGTGGTGTGCCCTAATTGACTCACCTATCTTCATAAAATTGCAACTCAATCGATCACTTCAAACTGGAACCAATTTGAATCTGATTTGCACTGAGTACGGAAATATATTTTCAGTAGACTTAGATATGCTTGAGGGTGTCTTGAAACTTGGTGGTAGTGTCCCACCTTTAGACGTTGTAGAAGTCGATTACCCCATCAATCCCTTCAAATGTGAGTTCATTTTGACTGAAGTACATGGTTCGTGCAATGGTTTGATCTGTTTGCATTGTTTCGTAAACGATTACAAAATTTTAGATGAAAGCCGTTACCTTGTTAAATCCTTCAACCAAGGAGTACAAAATTTTACCCCCACTGCCACCTCACAACGACGAAAATTTTTCGTATGATAAGAATTGGGATGACGAATTTTTCCGCCTATTTCATGAAATAATGTATGATTCTGTTGGTGATGATTACAAGGTGGTTAGAATTGTGCAATTCAAATTTGCTTCTGGTTCATTTTCCTCTGAAATAATGGTTTATAGTTTAAGATTGAATATGTGGAGGCGGGTATATGATAGCTTCTATTATTACATTTACTTGTCTGATGCATGTGAGAGAGATCCTTGTGTGGTTGTGAATGGTGCTTTGCATTTGTTAGCTTGTGAAGATCCATTAGATTTGTTTAACACTGTTGTTGGTTTTGATCCTGTGAATGAGGTATTCTTGGAAGTGGAGGCGCCAAGCGTTTCTGGTGTTAGTAACGGGACCTTGGGTGTTTTAGATGGATGCTTGTGCATACTTTATGCAATCAATGAAGAATATGCTTTTGAATTATGGGTCATGAATGATTATATGGTGAAGGAGTCATGGACAAAACTTTTCACAGTTTTCACTGTAAGGATTCTGAATTTGATAAGAGTGCATCATATTCTGCAATGTCCAAGGGTTTTGGCTTATTCTAAGATTAATAGGGAAGTTATCTTGTTGCAAATGTTTGGTAAATTAGTTTGGTATGACCTGAAAGAGGAAAGGGGCATGGATCTCAACATTTCATCATCTCTCGTGCGTTTTAATGTGAAAAGCCTTGTGAAGCTCAATCATGATCAATGAATTGGCATCTATAACTGTTGCTGTGATTTATGAAGATGTCTGATTTTCGGAGAGCTGTTTAGTTTCTGCCAAAGCATGATTCCGTTGTAGTGACCATAAAGGATTTTGGGTATTCCCACAAATTTGGTGTGTTTTGTTTTGCCATGTTAAATATGTTTTACCCTATCATGGTCGGGGAATTATGATATTTTGACTAGACTTCCACCTTTTGTTGATTAGCAAACCCATTTGGGTTTTTAGCTTTAGTAACTCCTTGTATTAGAAAAAAACTTTGAATGGATTAGTGTAATGACAACACTTATTGTGGCCATGTCTTTGGTGTGGATGGTACACTGATTCACCTTTCCTGTTCTGGTATCAGTTACGGAAAGTAACATTAGTTGGTGATATTGCTTTAGTAAATGACATGGTATCATTGTTCGGTTAAAATTTTTTTTTTCACTTTCCTTGTCATATTAATGCCAATGACAGTGTCACGTCGAAAGGTCCCCCACCTTTGTTGTGTGGCAAGTGTGATTGACTGGCAATATAACATAGGTGCAATCACTCCAGGTTATCGACAGTTATCTTGTGTGTGTGTTTCAAGTCTCAACCCTTCTCTGCAAAACCATCAGTATAACATGCTTTTCTAGGTAAAACCATCAGTATATGGTTCATGGTATATATTTTGTGTCTGCAAAGATTATACTATACGTATGATTCAATGCCAGTTCAATATATATCATTTTCTTCCATGCTTTCGTATTATTGTTTTTCCATGCCTGTTCGATTTAGTTGAACTAGATAATATGTTATCGAAGGTTGAACTTCTTACCAAGGGCAGAAGAGTTGCATGTTATCCTTGATTTTGGGTTATGTCCATTTAACTGCTATATACTGAGACAATTGTAGAAAGACAATTTTTTCTAGAGATGATGAAACTTATGGATTGGGGAAGTCATACCTGTAGAGGTGGTTCGAATGCGAGAACTATGCCAACGTTAATGAAATTATGTCTCTAAGTTAGTCAGGAACTACTGATGTCACCTAGAAATTTTTAATCTCCCTTCACAGTTGATCAAAGAAGCAGCAGCAGCTTTGATCCCCTTTTTTGAAACAGGGGTTCTATGCCTGTTTGTGTATCCAATATCAATGAATTACAATGAGAAATTCGTATTTTATTTATAAAATGTCCTTACAAACTTGAATGCACACACACACACACACACACAAATGTGAAACATACACCATACAGATTTCACTTTGAACGCCATGTTCATAGCTGATAGCATCATACAAAATGTCTGCAGACTAGTAACTGAAAATTAATGCTATAAAGGAAGTAACTGTACTAATCAAGCCGATGATCGGTAGAGAGAAGACTGAAGATGACCATGTCTCTAGTTCTCCCCTTCATTATAACATACCTCCTTAGAACACCTTCCCTCTGGAACCCGGCCTTCTCCAACACCCTCTGTGAGCCCGGGTTATCGTCATTCACCAGAGCTTCAAGTCTCTCTAAATGTGGCCACTCCACAAATATAGTGTTGGCCACCATTTTCACTGCCCGCGTCACTATTCCTTTTCCCCAATACTTGGAGCCTATGACATAGCCAATTTCAGCTCTGCACATATACTTACTACTCTCATTTGGTGTCACAGAAATTGAACCAATAGGGCGGCCGTTTAGACATATAGCTCTGAACCAGGAGTGGGGGATAATAACATTAACAATATATTCCATGGTAGATTCTTTAGAGGAGAATGTTTCCCAGGAGCAAAATCTACTCGCTTCATCGTCTGTGGCCCATACCATGAAATCATCAATATCAGAGAGCTTAAAAAGCCGGAGGGTAATGTCCGAAAAATCATCACCATCCACTTCTTTGTGCTCCATTTGCACTCGTTGTTCACTTTGGTCAACTGAAAATATGATCGGAGACCATGTCACTGATGAAGTAGAACAAAGTTTCCTTATATATATATAGCAGTATATATGTATATGCTCCCCAGAAAACTGCCTGGAACTAAGTTACAAAAATATAAAATATAATACTATATAACAAGAGTCAATTTTGCATGACTTGGTGAACAGCAACAAGCAAACAACAATCTAACCATTTTTTTATGAATGAACGAGTCAGACTCCATTCAATATCAGTATATTGGCTTTCTCGTGCAGTTGTGATACTTCTGGTAGTGGGGTGCATATATATGCTGTGCTGTGTTCTTACTAGTTTCTTAATGGGCCTGTAACCCTCTTGTATATGTCCAATTTGTGCCAAAACTTTATGGACACAGCCTAAAATTAAGTCCAGAACTCAGCCCAACCCAAAAGCCTGGCTGGATTCCAATTCAATTGCAATCTCTACTTCTTGGTACCCCATATGCGTTTACTAATTGCATGGTGGAGATATCACTTTCTTAGAACCAATCATGATATATGCTTAAAGATTTCTGCTATAAAAGGGGTTGGCTATGTTCGTTGAATTGGGCAAATATTTTGATACGTTGAACTTGCGCAGGTGTCCAACACTATATCTATTACAATTTCTTAACTTTTGTTGAAAATAAATTTCAACTAGGAGAGAGTAAAGAAGCTCGGACACTTCTCCTAAAATTGGCGTGGCGATATTGGAATCACATACAAGAATGAAACATTTAAATATTTTTTTCTTGTTGAACACAGCCTGGGACAAGTTTGGGATACTTTGGGGGCACTTTTCTTAGAAAAATGTGTTCCAATGCAATTTTTAAATATACTATGAAAAAATAATATAAATTTTTTTAAAAACAAAAACAACATATATTTTAGCTTTAACCTTCCAATTAGTGATTTCATTCATGATAATGTGAATGAAAATTAATTTTTTTTTTTTTTTTTTTTTATGTATAATGATATTATATTATTATTTTTGAACATTTTCTTAAGATATTTAAATCTGTTTTTTAAGATTTATAGTATCGTTGTATCTATATTTTGAGTTGTATTGTTATCATTGCTCGGAATTGTTATAATACCGGTTACATCAATAATAAGTTAATAACTCATTCTATGGTCATTTGAAAAGAAGTTTTGATTTTCTTGACTACCACAAAAAAATAAAATAAAAAATAAAAAAATTGACAATGAGTGAAAACATCGTCTTTTCCAACTAATAAATGTACTTGGCCATAGTAGTAGTTGATGGAATGCCCGATAGACAAAGACAAATCTACATTGGCTTTCTCGTGTATTTGCTTTCCCAAGTTTCTATCCTCCCCTTTAATTCATGACGCAATTGATGTTCCTGACTTGGGTTAATCTCCACCCCACATCACAATTCACAACAAGCAAACACAGGGTTTTACTACTTTTTCTTTCACCTTCTCTGTGTCCTTATCAAGTTTTCATCATCAGCGGTATCCTTGTTTTCCATTTACACTCTCTTTCTCTCTCTCACACACACACACAATGGTCATCTTCCCCTTCTACTTTCCTTTTCTCTACGAGTATTAAGTTTTTTCTGTTAATGGTCAAAAAATATGATTAAAGAAGGGTTAGCATCTTTGAAAGAAAAAAATGTAGCCCATTTTCACATAAATTTGTCACGAATCTATCTTAGTTTTTCTAAAGTAACATCAATTCGGGCATGACAAATCTGTGGCCTTTAATCTCTGATTTGTGGCAATTAATTAGACGTGATTATGAGACGTGTTGAGTGGACATATGAAAAGAACACCAGACTTGCTTTGTCCAGTTTAATTTACTTTAACATGTCTAATTATATGGTCCCACACGCTGGTATATTGATTAGTGAAAACAAAAACAAAAAATGGTATGCGTATGTTGTTGCCATACGGTCAGTTGACCATTTGAGCAGCAAATTGTACTGTAATTGAATTTCGTGTGGCAATAATTTCGACGATCCAGTAAGGGCAAACACTCCTAGGCCCACGAAAGGAACCTCATGATAAATGGCATAGGTGGGTCCATCCTCACTTAAACCCATGGAAGGGGACACCTCAGGAGGTCCCCAAAATTGTCCCACCACTTTCTTCTGATGTGTGGCATTAAGGACAAGTGAAAACTATGCCACCTACTGGTTTCCATTTTCATGAAAGCTATGTGTCTATGCATGTAAAGTAGCTGATTGAAATAGATAAGAAAATTTGACATTACCCCCATCCCCTAATTGATAGCACGTTTAATTCACTAAACAGGTATGTTTGTCTTCTAATTCTCTTTTTCTATGATTGAATCAAATTAGGGTTTTGGGAAACGAAGTGAGCAAAGGGTTTTATGGCAAAGTTACTTTTTAGTTACGTTGATGTCCATTGTGGAAGCTAAAGATGGTAGTGTATATCTTGGCTCTTTTGTAAAGATTAGGATATAACTTGAAATTCTATATAATGGGTGCGCACATTCTTATATATTCTTTTGTTTGATTCTGATTTGGTTAAGTAAAATAAGAGTTAGAAGTACTGAGGTGCTTAGGTATTTTTCTAACTTTTGTGATCTCCATTGTAGCATCTACCCTTAAAAAGAGAAACATGGTATATTTGCATGAATTCTATACATTACACCATTGAAGTTGAAATCGTATACATGTGAGTATGTAAGCATTCGTCTGATACAGTATGACGTATTCTTAACTTATTCTTTATTTTGATTGAATTAGATCATGAGGTCCAATTAGCATGAAAGTAAAGGTTAGCTTATCATGTCATGTATGGTTGTTGATTCTAATAGTCCTCAATCAAGATTGGAACTCCCATGCACTACAAAGTACTGGATTAGTGAGTAAAAACATAGGTTGTCACTTTTCAACCTTGTAATTGTTTGGAAACAAACATATTTTAATTTTTCTCCAAATTTTTGTTTTTGGTTGGGGTTGGGGTTGTGTCTATTCTCTTAGGTCTTGTCAAACCTTTTACAAGGTCCCCATGTCAATTTAACCCTACCTATAACCGTTGATTCTATTTATCAATGATGCAAATGGAGACAAGTGATCAGTTTCACTGTGGGTCCCATTAGTGGGGTACCCCCTTTGAATAATTGGGCCATTGTTTTAGAGACAGCTCTCTCTCATTCCCAATTCTTCATTCATGAAAGGACATCCAACACCATCAACGCAATTATACAAAAGCCATTATCATCCAGAAAAGAAAACCCTAACTTGTAGACCCCACCTCCCAATAACACAACAAAGACGGGTCTCCTTCCCTTTCTTAATTTATTTATTTAATTTATTTATTTTATATTGCCTTGTCATTCTTAATTTGTTTATTTTGTCATAAAGTAACAAACAACGAAGTTCATAGGGTCTATGAATGTTTCCCTCTACCTAGTGTTTACATCATGAAGAAACTAAAAAGTAAATCCACTAACTCCAACTAAGGTTAAAGGTTTAGGTGACATGATGTCGACAATATATTTTCACTTTCCATTTATCTAATTTATCTTCAGGGTTAGTGTGTTAGCTATAATTTCTCTCTTTTTTATTCAATATTCCTTTTTTCCTTGAAAATGATGGGATTAATAATGGTATAATTAATATATAAAGGCACATAATTTGAAGATGAGAGGTATCTTTCAAAGAAAAAAGAAATGTAAAGATGATGTAAATTGTCAATTTGTATAGTGTATGCTTTATTGTAATATTTATATTCTGATTTTTATATACCAGTTAGGAACCACTGCTGATACACTAGTAAGTTTCAAATTGTCAAATATGAAAAAATTACAACTCTAATACACTGCATTACCATCTTTGACCAAGGTAAAATGTAAAATATTCGAGTCTCTTCACGGTTAAAATTTCTTGACAGAATATAATAAATAAATAAATTGTCATCTTAAAATTGGAACAAATTTAATTAAAAAATAATTTACCCCAATAACAATACAGAGATTTGGTACTACTAAATGTACATGACTTTACGTACATTTAAGCAATAACTTCAATTAATGGAAGCACTTTTTTTTTTTCTTTTTTTTCTTTTTTTTTAATCAATTACAAGAAACTCACACACACCATTTTACTTATTTGAAGACTCGAGCCATTAATATCTAATTTGGTATTTTCAAATGCAAGCATGACTATATGTAAATTTATCAAGAGTTGCCCATTGCCCATTCTCTCAACAATTTCAATTAATTAATGGGCACTTCTTCTTCGTTTTCTTTTCAACAGCAAAAATTATATTGTAATAATAATAAATAAAACAATACATTATTTTATGAAACTGGACATTGCTAGGTGACAGCATCAACCATAGTCTTAATTGGCATCCAATTTAAAGATAATACTACCTTGATTTACTTACCTAAATGGAGCTTAGATGATGAAGCAAGCTTTTGCCCCTATAGGGTTGGTTACATGATAGAGAGAGCTTTGGCCTCTCTAAGCTAATCAAATCTCTAATTATTCCTTCAGTTTCCTTTACATACTCAAATTATCACTTTTGGGAATTGGAACTTGATGGCAATTATTTTTTCCGTTTCCATTACTATTTTTTATTTTTTTATTATTTTTTTTATTTTTCTTTCTTTTTGCATAAGAAATCACACTTGACACGGACTTGTCATACTCGACACTACTATATGCGGACTTGATCTATCAACCACCTTTTATTTATTTATTACGATGGCAGTGTCGGGGCTTTTAAAACACCCCATAATCTACACTGAACACATTATGATATTGCAAAGGTTACTGAGAATTACATAAACAATTTGGACAGCAAGAGGGCCATGCAGGTATGCTGACACATTTTTTGGGACAGTGCCATGACATATGATATATATATATTTTTTTTGCCTAATCGTTTAGGGCTTCAAAATTGCGTTTTTGTCTTATAGGAAGCTTGTTTAATATTTCAGAGGTTGCCGATAATTACATAGACAATTTGGACCGCAAAAGGGCCATACAGGTATGCTGACACATTTTTTGGGACAGTGCGGTGACATATGATGTTTTTTTTGCCTAGTTATATAGGGCCTCAAAATTGCGTTTTTGTTTTATAGGAAGTTTGTTTAATATTTCAAAATTTTTGTTCCTGCACTAAACAGACTTGGATCGTTCTGAATTTTTATATTCAATACTTGTATTGATTAGAATTTTTATTTATTTTTTATATATAATTTAGACTTTTGATTTTAGACTTACTTTTAGTCTTAGTTTCCTCTTCACGTTAGGTTTTCTTATGTTATTATATTTTTTCTTATGCAGTTAATTTGTTTATGGTTTAGAATTTTTTATTTATTATAAATAACACATTCAATAATTCAATATAATATCATATTTCTCTATAAATTATCTCTTAATTTTGTGAATTTAAAATTAACCTTTTGTTTGTTATTGAACATTCATAGTTTTCGATTCTGTCACTACTTCTATATGTACCTGCTATTCTGGTAATCGTGGAGAAAATTTTATGGGAGTGAGTAAAGTGACCACCCAAGAGAATTGAAATGGATGAGTAAATACCACTTTTGGTGATAATTATTATTTTATGTTGATACGCTAGGATCTTGTTCATCTTAATTTGTGTTTTATATTCCATTTAAAAATGAAGCCAAGTAATTGTAATTCTACGCTAGTGTATCCTTATTTAACCGTCTTCTATTTTTATTAATTACATTATTTTATAGAATAAAATACTACAAAGATGCATAAAATGTTGTACTATTCATTACTTTATTTTTGGGTAACCCAATGTTTGAATTATTAATCTAGAAATCAGAGATTTATAAATTTAATCAAATCAAAACAAGCTGTCTCAGCATAACCCATCAGCATTTGTTTTAAATAGACATATTTTGAAAGTTAGCTAAACTGCATCATACACGAATATACGATGTAATGGAGTATCATATTAAATATTTTATTTTTATATTATATCATTGAAATGTTCCATTATTCTAAATGTGTACACCAACTTGTTTTTGACACCATCTATGCATCGTTATGCTAATTTGAGGTTTCGATCACATTATTTTATTTTAATTTAATTTATTTTCCGACTAATCGATGATTAAAATTTTAAAATAAAAGGCTAACCTTGGTTTGAAATATCGGGTACCCAAGACAAGATAATATGTCGTCATCATGTTCATGTTATGTAGTTAGTGCTACAAACTAGGCTTGCGTTTTATGGAGCTAGTGAGGGCTAAAAAAAGATATATAAAATTATTATTTTTTTGAGGGTTACGTACTAAAGTATCAAGTTTTAGACCTAATCTCCATTTAAAATGTTGGGACATACGAATCCATTATTGCTCTTATTGTTCATTGGAATCATTGCCCCTCTAATTATTGAAGGAAAAAGTATATAGATAAACCTTTATGGATGTGATAATGACTATGACAGTATGCTATTATTATCTTGAAATTTTCGCGGAATAATATTCTAAATTTAAATGTTGCCATTTCCATAGCTTTAAAACCACAGGTGTTGTCATCTATATCAAATATTCTCTTAGATGTGTGAAAATGGTTCTACTTATTAATTATTTATTTATTTATTAAAAAAATACGCGCACACACATTTTATAAAGGATTAATTTCATAAAACTCCTCAACCTACTTTAAAAAACTCCAAACATTTTAAAAGTGATCAAATTATCCAAAACCCATGTCTGACTAGTTCATAAAATGTCAAATTTGATCATATGATTTACTATTAAATTAAAATTTGATATTTATTATTTAAAAATTATAGAGTTATCCCTATTATATATGTGTTGTTATTATTAGACCCACAAACCCAAACACCACCTAAACCTAATTTCCCACCAACCAAACACAACCTTATGCCCATCTACAGTGTTCATATTCTTCAGTAGGCACATTGTCATAGCTCGCAAGACCCAATTGCTCTAAACACAATTACAGGACCCCAACCCAAGCCACAAGACCCAAATGCAAAACTCTTGCACCAATCGCACCCAAACATAACCCATCTACAGAAATTAACCTCTCCACCAGAATCGTGACATTGACACGGCATCATCGTCATAGTCTGTGCTTGCACTCCGTCGCTACTGATTTGTTTCTCATCGCCGGTTCAATTGGCGTGCTTGCTGGTAAGTTCCGTGTCTTGTCCGTTCAGTCCTGCCTTGCCTATTCATTATGTGGCTGTAATTCAGACCCGCGCCCTCGCCGGTAAATTCTGTGGTTATAGTTTAGACCTTCGTACTCGCGGATTCACTTTGTTGCCGCCGTTCAGTTTAGACCCACACACTGGTAAGTTTAGTACACCGCCGTCCTCGCATGCTCGCCGGTAAGTCGTTGCTTCACCGCCGTTCATTGTCGCCAGTTCCTCCTTGCTTCATCGCGCATCGCCGACTGCATATCACAAGCCTCATCATCGTTGTTCACTCATCCCTGCTTCACCAGGCAATTTCATCTCCTTGCGTCGCCAGCGCAAGTCTGTCGACGGGTTAAGAGAGAGAGAGAAGACCCAATCAGGGTAGTTGTGTAATTTTAAAATAATAAATAGGACATGAGTTTGAGGGCAATTTGATCACTTTAAAAAGTATCGAATACTCTTTTTTGTTATTCCATTGACCTAATTGCCAATTGATTTGTTGAGATGTATAAAAAAAAGATAAGGAATAAAAATAAAAATAAAAACCACAAAATTAAATCACTTTCATAATTGAAGTCTTACAAGGTACCTATTTATTATATAAATTTTTCCAAACTTTTCTAAGGGGGCTTGTGTCGGTAGGCCCATGGCAGTTGACACCTTTACAAATAGCAAATTATTTTATTCATTTTTAACAAAAAAAAAATTATTTTATTCATTTGAGTGTTGTCGATTTTATTTGCCAAAATTAAATGTAGTTAAATATATATCTCAACTGTTATGGTCCAATTAATGATAATTTTATAAATAAATAAAAAATACCTTACAAGATTATGATAAATTCATACTCAGCGAGCTGACTCAACTTGAATTGTGTATGAAAATAGTCTCGTTTGTCTAACATGGATCTATAAATGCTTTATAGAATATATGTTATAACGAAAAATGAAAGGGAATGGGAAGGCAAAAGGGTTGGGTCCTTTCACATAACCCCATAAAATTATATTTTGTTACCTAACACATTCATTCCAACACGACTTCTAAGAACTTTCAGTTATGCCTAAAAGGGAAAATTTCATTGTAGTAGTACACAAGTTGTGGAGCCAATTTTACACAAATAGCAACTTTGATCATATATATATATATATTTTTTCTTGGTTGACCATATATTTACTTTTAGTTGATGAACAATATTAAAAATTATTGTAACAATTTTTGCAGTTCACTTTTTTCTATGACCAAATTGTCCACAATATATATATTTCCAACTTGATAAAAAAATACACTTACACAATTTTTTTTTTTTTAATAATTGAACTCAAACCCCCTTAAAATTATTCTCATGACAAAAATTTATTATATGGTAGTTTGATGGGACAACTGCATAAACATATCTAAAATATACTCTACATATTGTTTTTATTCTCTATTTAAAAAAGTGTGCAAAAAATATCTCTAATCTTTTCACATTGTGCAAAAATATCTCTCTTAACATAAAATAGTGATGTAATACCGGTAGAGGGTTAACTGTTAAGGGGCAATTTGTGTTTTTTGCCAAACCAATGGTAGTTTGGTTAAATAGAAATTTTTGATGGAAAGTGAAAGTAAAAGAAAATAAAGGAAAGGGAAAGAAAATTAAGTTTTTATTATGTATTTGGTTAGCAAGAAAATTTTCAAGAAAGTTGTGAGAAAATATTATTTTGTGAGTTTGGAAAGAATGAAAGTGATGATTATAATTCCCAAAGCTACACTTTTAATTATAAGATTACTTTGTACTCTTCTGAGATACTATCATATTTCCAGGATTATGAACAAAATTAAAATTTTAAGTTCAAAGATAAATTAATGGACATTATAGTATTTGTCTTCTGATATTTAATAATTAAATATATGTGATTCTAGGTACAAGTTTAATTAATAATAAATTTTTGATTGGAAAATTCTTGAGAATAAAAGGTTGAAGTTAATATACAATTAAATTAGTATTTACATGATCTTATAAGCAATTTACAAAATAATGAAACTCACTTATTTTAGAAGTTTGTGAAGAAAGTGAGGAGAGTGACATGGGCATAATAAGAAACTAAAATGTGAATGCATCATTTTCACGGAAAAGTAAAATTTCCCTGTTTTGAGAAAAATTAAATAGTTATAAAAAAATTACTTTCTTGAAAAAAAAAAATTTCACGCTAACCAAACTTTTTAAATTTTTTTTATTTTTTATTTTTTATCTATCTACTTCATGCCAACCAAACAAGCTCAAAGGGAATTTGACAATAAAATTTCGGTAATGTAATTTATGGGTAATAAGCTCAAACCCTTACGGGGAGGTCCCGGTAATTTTACCCCAAAATTGATATAAAAGGGGTTTAATAAGTTGTATCGTGGGGCTCAATCTTAGGAGGTTTGCGACAACCGAGGAGTTAGGGCTTGAAAATGATGGTGCAGCAGCAGCAGCTCTATAACAGGACCGTCCGTGAACTTCCTGCGAATCTGGTTAGCTATATATGTGGACCCCACCAATTGTCAACTGCACTCCGCTGCTCTGCACTCCACTCCACTGGATCCCATCACCCGCCTTCTTCTGCCTATCCCACACATCCGATAAGTAATTTACTTGTAGCCGACTGGCCCGACTATCGGCTTAGCTTAGCTTGGGAATTTTTTTTTTTTTTTCATCTTGATAGATATTCTTACAATCTGCTACCTCTTATGGGATAAAAGCATCTAATTAGTTTGTGTTAATTGTATTAGTATTTAGATATTATTCAGAGAAGAACGTTCTGTTCAAATCTTTCTTCATTTTAATTTGCCTGAACAAAAAATAATACAAAAATATTAATATTATGCTAAAAATAAAAGAAAAAGAAACTCACATTTGTCCTTTTCTTCTAATTTATTTTTTAAAAAGCGACTAAGCAAAAACTCAAAAGACACATTTATTTAATGAAAATTTGATCCCTTAACCTTGTTTTTTATAGAATCTCCACATTATGGTACAAGTTAGAGGATAATTATTATCATTATTATTATTCGTGTGACTTGAATATGTTGAGATCTTAAATTTAAAGTTGTAATTGAGTTAAATTTGCTTGAGGTTTTGATTGTTCAAACTCGAGTGTTCAAGTCGGGCATTATTTGTTAAGCTAAAGTGTTCAAGTGAATTGTTTCTTTGATCAATTTCAATCCCAATCTCAAGCCAGAATTTAACCTCGAATTTGTGATTAAGATTGTAATGTAAAAAATGATAATAAAATCAAAACAATTCATCCTAAACAAACCATGTTCATAAACCATGTTCATAAACCTTTTATCGAGTTTGTTCACAAACACATTTGCAATTCGGAGTCATGGATTATTCCCACTTGGTAATTATAGTGTGTTTTTTTTTTTTTTTTAACCTGAGTTTAAACTATTTATGAATAACTCAGTCTTGATAATCGTTTTTTTGTTTATTATTTACCGTTTTATTTAAGCCGAGTTGAGAAGTTGAGCTGAGTGGAGGGGGATCCTAATAAGACTCGACAGAGGCTAATCCGGAATAGTACTTGTAGCGTGAGTAAACCTGCTTTATATTTCCATCAGGATGACGAGAAGTGATACAGATAGAGCAAAATTCCACGGATAGCAGAGAGAGCAGTGTAGCCAGTAGAGAGAGAAAGAGAGGAGTTTCTGGCTAAAACCGCCATGAAAAAACTGCCATTTCAGGGCAGGTAAAAGAAGTAGTAGTGGTTCAGTTTCATCATAACCACTTATTCCCATGCACTCACTCACTCCAACTCTTTAAAATCACCCAACAACCCCTCACTCTCTCTGCATCGCCTTGGCGATTTTTCAGGGGCTGATGAAAATAAACCCAAATAATTAAACATTATTACTAAAAAAAGGTTGGATAGATAGATGTAGAGAGAGAAAGTAAGCAATAGATGCAGTGATCCCAGTCTTTTTTCAGGTTCAGGTCCTTTTGATTTATGGGTTTTGTCTGCATCTAAAGCCTTGAATCTTTTTTATTAGAAGAAACCATTTTTATTGAGATAATACTCTACTAGTGAACGACACAAACAAAGGGTATAAAGCAAACAAAAATGAAAAAAGGAAGATAGTAGAAAAAATTACAAAGCTTTTGTGTTTCTTTTGTTTGCATGCGTTTGTGTAAGGTATTGATCATGACTGCCAAGGTTCGTTTCTATGTCGGTTCTGAGAGATGAGCCATTTTCTTCCTGAGAAACAAAGACCGAGAAAGTCGGGGAAAAAGTGAGAGCTTTTATTTTCTTGTTTTTCTCAGTGTCTGAAAATGGAGGTCACAGAGGTATGGAAGAGATAGATAGCCTCTGAGATAGAGAGAGAGATAGAGAGAATTCATGGAGTCTGTTTGGTTTTCTGGTTCTTGGATTTGTTAAAAATGGCTTCTCTTCTTTTTCCATCTTTCTCTGATTTAAACCCCAAAAATCCCGTCTTTTTCTTCTGAATTTTGGAGTTTTTTTTTGTTCTTCTCTGTTCCAGTCCATGGCGGTTTCTGGCTAAAATCACAGATCATTTAAGATATGTATATATATGTGTGTGTGTTGTAGTTGATTTTTCACAACATAGATTGGAACTTATAATTGTTTGATTTGAACAGAGAAGAGTTATGCTGAGGAAGAGAACTAGAACAACTAGTAAGCAAGCTCTAATGGCTGATTATGGCTCAATTCAATCACCCACAGACAAATATAGAAAACCCACTTCATCAATCCTCAGTTCTCCAAGTTTGTTCACTAGTTTTGCCACAAAGGTTTTCACTGACACTGAATCTCTGATGATGAGCCCAACTTCAATACTTGATAGCAAGCCATTCTCTACTTTGAGAAACTCATTTAGGTCTGACTCAAACACCACCACCAAAGCTCCCAAACCAGAAAGTAGAAGCCATTTTGATAAATTGGATTCGAGAAAGGTTGGTCTTGGCATTGTTGATGCTTTGATCGATGAAATTTCAGATTCAAAACCATCCAAACCCGAAAGCCGAATGGTCCTGTTTGGATCCCAATTGAAGATTCAAATCCCTCCTCTGCCTCCCTCTGTTCTTTCCCCTTCCGAGTCACCGAAATCTCCGGCGGGTTTCGGTAGAAGGACAAGGAATTCCCAGCCGTGTTCTTTCTCCCCGGCATTATCTTCCCCTGCAGCTAAGAAATCACCGTTTGGATCGGCGAATTCCGGCCTAGAAAACCCGAATTCACCACGGGTTTTCAGTGGGTGTCTCTCTGCTAGTGAGATGGAACTTTCAGAGGATTATACTTGTGTGATCTCTCGTGGTCCCAATCCGAGGACTACTCATATATTCGATGATTGTATCATTGATAGCTTCTATGGTGATGTTGGGTCCTCTGCTGCTTCCAGGAAAGAAAATGGGTTTCTGGCCGATCGACGTCCGATGAGCTATCCATCTGAGAGTTTTCTCAGTTTCTGTTACAATTGCAAGAAGAATCTTGGCCATGGAAAAGACATTTATATGTACAGGTATTAGCTCAAATTGCCATTATTTTTTTTTTTAATACTAAGTTATTTACATTGTTCAAATGGTCTATGTGGAGTCAACTTTTTTGAATTAGATTCATACCAAGATAATTCATTTAATTTATAATTCATCCATTCAATTTGATCAACAAGAATGACTTTTTGATAAAGCTCTAACTTCATAATATTCTAATCTCAGCTTGGTTAGGCATTTTAAGTAGTCATGGTACTTATAATGTTGTTTCTAAATTCAGCTCTCCCTAGTGGTTTCACATATTTGATTGATGAATCTCTTTTTGATGTTTCTGTGATCGCATGCACCATTAGATTTGGAATCGGAGATAATTTAGTTCAAAATTTACACTAAATATTCTCCTTATCCAATTCTAAGACATGGATTCGTGCTCCAAACGCGACAAAAGTCTCAATCTCACCAATCTTTTCTTATTCAGGGGTGAGAAAGCTTTCTGCAGCAGTGAATGCCGATACAAAGAGATGATGATGGAAGAGGGAATGGAGAAATTGGTGTCCGGTGTTCATGGGACTTGTTCATAGTACTTGTCTACATCTATCTCTTGCTTGTTAGGCTAATATCTATATCATCAATTTTATACCTATGGGTATGGAGCAATCAACAGAAGTGTAGATACATAAATTCAATCAAAACCAGATTATCCTGACAAAGATGGTGCTTGTTTATGTTGGATAATTTGATATGTTTTGTTGTTTCATTTTATGTTCTCTCTTGTTTTTACTAGCCTAATGTTCCCATTTGTAGAGGACTTGAAAGGGCTGAGATATTGGAGACTTTTAATTTTGTTCAAAGTGATAAAACTAGGTGGTTGCTTTTAATTTTGGCTGGTGATGTTATGTATGATTGAAGCTTGCATTATCTCTGTTTTTTTTTTATTTTTTTTTTTTTATGCTAATGACTATAATTATGTACACATCAGAGGACCACTGGACCAATGACTTTAATTGAGTAGATTCTTTTCCTTTGTTACGTTTGTCCTTGCTACCTCTCTCGTCCGTCATGTCCATTTTTGGCCATTTTGTCAAAGCTTGCACTAAAGCAACTATGCTGGTCCACTTTATTACTTAATAACTAGGGATGGCCCCCGCTTTGGGCCAGTGAACCGTCTCTCATCCCCGCAATTGGTTAGAAACTCTCGATCATTTCTGTCCGAAACCGTCTATACGAGACCTTTTCGCTCTACTCTCGCCCCGTTTAACTTTGTTGCCCCATGGGTACCTGTCCTGTTCTATTTAGTTTCAGAATTTTTTCTCTTTTTTAATTTTTTTCATCAAATACAATTATATATAAGGAGTGCAATTTGGGTTGGGAACCCGAACCCAACCCGACTCCAGCCCGATTTTTCACTAGTTTGGGCAATCATTTTTATAATTAGGATTGGGCTTAGGTTGAAAATTTTCAACCCAAGTTGAATTAGGATTGGGCTTGGGTTGACATGCTAGCAACCCGAGCCAACCCGAACCCGTACCCGAATTATAATATTATTTATATATATTTTTTTACTTTAAAATACATTATATATATTATTTAAACTATAATTATCTTTTTTCTTTTCAACTTATTTTGTTAAATCTTAACTTATTATTTGTAATTTATTAAAAGTTTACAAAAAGTTTTTGAATTTTTTCTTGTTTAAGAGTAATTTAATCTAAAACTAATTTAAGATCATATTAAATTTTTGGTGTGATGATTAGGTATTTGAGTAATTTGAATTAATCCAAAATTTTTATACAAAATTTAAATCCGAGTTGCAAGCCCGAATTTAAAAGTAAAAAGATGGGTTGGACTCGAGTTGAATAGTTAGGGTTGAAGATAGGATTAGGGTGGGTTTGGGTTTAGCATTTCATATGGTGGGTTGGGCTTCAGTTAGACCTCAAATCCGCCCAACCCGCCCGAGTTGCGGCCATATATATAACTATTAAAAAAATTCATAAAAATTGAAAAATCAATAATTTAACATAAAATTTAAGGATATGAACGTTCTTAATTCGTAAGATTCTGTCGCTCTCTAGAACAATTGAGAAAATGAGTAAATGTGACGTAGAATTTCTAGAGCTAATTATAAATACTAATAAAATAAAGGTGATTTAGTAATTTACTTACCTAAATGGGGGCAGGACAGGACGGGGTGACCTCCTCTCGCTCTAGCCCAGAACTCGCGTGAGTTTTCATTAAGAAAAACCATCTCCTTTCAAATAAGTTAAACGGTCTTCCAAAACCGTTATAAAAAGGGCAGGTTGCTGCGGGTACCCGTCCCTATGGGACAAATTGCCATAGCATAGTTCAATGTAAATTCTTATATATGTAAAAATCAAATAGTTCAAAGTAGCTAGGTGTTATAAGGAGTAATTATCCCACATCGAATCCGGATGGAAAGTGAAATGCGTATAAATGGGTGAGTATGTAATACTACTTAATAACTTAAGTTTTTGAATAAATGAGCAAGCATCCATCTGTTACAGTTGGTATCAGAATCAGACTCTATTCTTGATTCGGTATCACTCAAAGTGTCCGGGTGCGAGTTCAGGTAGGAGAGAATGTTACAAGGAATAATTATTCCATATCAGATTTAAATGAAAAGTGAAATAAGTATAAATAAATAACTATGTAACACTATCAAATAATTAAAATATCAAATAATTAAATTTTTTTGATAAATAAATAAACGCATACACGTTACACTGGGACACTTGGAAAGTGCCTTAATACTTCTAGTAGGCCACAAACTAATTCAAAATCATTTTCAAAAGAGTCCATATGAAGTGATACTTGTTAGCTGCCTGGGGAAATTGAAAAATTAAAATAGGTGGAGAGGAATGCTGACAGTGCAATCTCATCCGAAAGACTTGTGTCCATCCATCAAACGAGGCACCACTGAGAACCTTCCATTCAATGGTCGAGTCTCATTAATAATTGGGTAAAATGCCAAAAATAAAAAATAAAAATAACAAAACAAAAAATTATTGAACTATTAGCTTATTAGTAACAAATTTCATTGAACTACAAAAATTACAAAAAAATTCTAAACTATACAATTAGGGGCGGAGTTACTGAAGGGCTAACTTAAGCTATAATATAGATAAAAAAAAAAAAAAAAAATAGTATTACTATACACCAATTCAGAATCCAGTCCATATGTAATACTACTCTTCATTTTAGCTCAGTTCAAATGCAATTCAGTTCACTTTGCAATCTTGGCTCCGTCCCTATATATAATTTTATTGCAAATAGCCCCTTCCAACACTACGCGGGTTGGATCTCAGACACAAAATTTATAATTTAAGGACCATAATGCCCTTATAAACATGAAAAGACAATAATGCCCCCTTTATAACCTTTAATCCAAACATCCAACTACTTATAATTGAGATACACCCAAACCAAACACCATCTATCCTTTCCTAAACCCCCCTTATATATATATATATATATATATATATATATAACTAATAAAAAATATCAATAGAGACAAGTGGTTTAACGGTATCAACTTCTTATTTCCCAAAGAGAAGTTAGGAGTTCAAGTCTCAAAAGAGACAAATGTAATGCACCAACTAGAAAGAAAAAAAATCAAAAATCAAAATGTCATCTTATATGAAATTCACAATATAAGATAATGTATATGATTTTCTATTAGTTTTGTATATTAGTTTTGTATATATATCAGATAAGTGCAGAAAATATTTCTAAACTATAGTCTGTCTATTATTTTTATCCCTTATTTGAAAAGTATCTTAAAAAACATCTTTAATCTTTTCACATTGTCCTATATGTTCCTAATTGAAATTTTAAATGTGATATGCACTGTAAGTATACTTTATAAATTATGATGGTTTCTAAGCTACCTCTCTCTCTCTATATATATATATATATATATATATATATATATATAAGTTTTGAAGGGGGGTGTTGCAATGCCGTCTGAGCCTAGGGCCCCTGGAACCCTATATATTTGTCGTTCTTATATCGGACGATCCGGATTTCTCAAATTGACGATGATGAAATCGATTGATGCGAACAAGGGCTACGAAATCGATTGGTGGTTGCCAATGGAAACAAAATCATTATAGTTCCTATAAAAAATTATAGATCAACATACAGAAAGAAATTACTAGTACAATATATATATATATATAGTGAGTGAGTACGGTGGATTTATAAATTATTTTACCTCTTTTTGTTTGCCCACATACTCTTTAATGGGTGAAAGAGATAGTTTAGAGAGAGAGAGAGAAGAGTGTTGGTGGAAAGGCAATGGAGCTGGAGAACCAGATGGTGTCGATGGCAGTTGACTGTGGAGTTCGGTGTGAGGAAAGAAGATGAAGAATGTTACTGTGTGTATAGGCGTAAAGTTGGGTGCTGACAAAAAAAGGTAAAGGTTAGTTGAGTTGTCACGTGTTGATTGGTTGTTGAGACTTCTTCCCTCCACATCATCCATTTAAGGGGCCCTAATTGCCCAAACTACGTCGTTTTGATTAGGGATAAAAGTGTCTTCTAGCATTTGCTTCACCGGAAATTAACCAAAATGTCTTGCAAAGTGATAGTTGAAGGGAATTTGTTAAGGGAATTTATTGCAAAAGACTAATAATTTAGGAATTTTTTTTGCATTTTAACCTTAAAAATTTATCCAACAATTGAGTTTGGATAGTCATCACACTACAATAATGGAGTTGGATGTGCAACAAAATAGTCTATGTCCAATATCAGAAAGACAAGTGCCATTTGTATGTATGTATTAGTGAGAATTAATGCTCATAATGAACGTAGTAGTTGAGTGTATGTATGTATGTATGTGTATATATATATATATATATATCCAAGAAATGTGCCGAATGAAGGCAGACAATGGGGTCCTGCCCCTTAAAACTCTCAGCTACTGGCAAATGGTGAAATCTGACATGCAAATAAGTAGAGAGTCTTGGGACCATTAGCAAGCCAGTGGGACTCTTTAGGGTCTCACTTCAAGAAGACTCTAAGCCTAGAGACATGTCCATTGTATAATATAATGACAAAAATATGCTTACCTAGGACCGCGTTGACAAACTCCATAATTATTGGGAAAATAATTTTAAGGCTGAAAAGGCCAATAATTGAGTCGGTTGTATTAGTGATATGACATTATCAATTGATAATAGGAATCACTAAAATGATATAATACAATTGATATTAAAGCTGTAGAGTAGTCTTTTTCATAAAATGAAACTCATTTAAGGTCATGAAGAGCCGTGACACTTTCGATCCAATAAATAGGCTGGACTCTTCGGCTAGTATATCATCGCTGTCATGCTTTTTGGCTTGATAAGCAGTTTTGTGAAAGCAAAAGCACGAAGTTTCAAGATTTATGTGGAGTGCTTCAATCAATGAAGTACTTGTTAACAAGAAATTTGTTTCTGTGGCCCAAGTACCTACCAAATAAAGACAAGGCCCAAAAGAATGAACTGTGCCCATTTAAACGTCTGTAATCTATTGTATTCAAAATTTCTTTCAAGTAACGTTCACGTAATTTCCAACTTCACAAATCTTTTTCATGTTGGATTCAATTCCTTTTCCAAGGGGGCAATTTGATGCTTTCAATAATTAATTAAATTTCATAAAAGGCTCCAATTTCAAATTTAAAGTACATACATAAAAAACAAAGTCATAATCCATATCTTATAGAATTATCTTTGCGGGTATAATTTTTTCAATTGGTGGACAATTTTTCTCCCCCCCCTTTTTTTTTTTTTTAAAGCGTAAACCCCCACCATTAGGGATGGAGAATATTTCCTTCCAATGTCCACAATTATTCTCAAATCACATATATGGAATAAGAATAAGT